ACTCAAATTCCCCACTGTTACCTTGCAATCAGCTCACTGTAGCTTCTTAAATTTCATTATTTTGAAATACCAAGTGACCTGTAAAGATGACATTCCTCATCACTAATTCTGAATTACTCACTTACTTTACTGTTCTTAGGTACCAATATTTTCCTGAGTACAACTTTTGCCAGGCATTTGTGCTACGATTTTCCCAAAATAAGAGACTTTTGCTTCCATATCTAACAACTGACAAAATTAATTTGTGTGCCTTGACAGTGTTTTGGAAAGCAGACTGGTTGATACCAGTTTTCAAACTGAATTATAAACACCAAATTTATTACTCTAATAAACAGGTTACAAACACAGGTTAATCTGTCTTTCATTTTAACATGTCATCCTTAATTATCATCTCATTTCTCACAATTTCAACATCTGTAGTTAACCTGACAGTTCGTGCTGTCTGAGCGCGCCACATTATTTCAATTTGTTTCCCACTACAGGGAAAGCTGCTGCATTTCCACTTCTGACACTTTTTCCACTGTAGCTCTGTTGCTTTACATTACTTTACTCCTGGAGCACTCCAACGAACGTGAACATTTATTTTTTTCTGGTAATGCATCTTGTATATGTCCTTGCAAGTACGTGTTACAGGAGAAGAAATCAATTCCCAGCCATAAAATGCTACCAGTAAAACCCTTCACTACTATCTTATATTAAAATAATTGTCCCTCTTAAATCAACATATCTCTGTGAGTAATGTTCAGTAAGCTGTGAAGAACATCAAAAATGAACATAGGTAAGTATATTTGAATAATCTTTGACATTTTTAAAATAGCAGAGAAGTTCCAGTCACCCATAACAGGAACCGAAAGATAACCAAGAACATACAATTTAGAGTGTTTTATGTAGGTAAGTCAATAAGTAAGTTACAAATAGATATATAACTTAAATAAGAGCATTGATTTGAAAAATGCTTTTATTTCTCAACATAATCTCCCTGTACATTGAGGCACTTGTCCCATCGTTTCACAAGCCCCTGAAAACCAGCAGCATAAAATTCTTTGGGCTGCTGTCAGAACCAGGCAGTAACTTCCCTTACTATAGCTTCATCATCGGGAAAATGTTCAGCGGAAGATGATGTTTAAGAGGGCCGACCAAATGGAAGTCACTTGGAGCAAGGTCGGGTCATAGAGAGGATGCTCAAGGACTTCCCACTTAAAATTTCACAGTGTCTCATTTGTCTTGTTGGCAGCATGGTGACACGCGTTATCATGCAAGAGCAACATGCCTTTGGTGAGTCCTGTTCGCTTCCGCTGAATGGCCTTACGAAGTTTCCTGAGGATGCTACAGTAGGAGTCGGCAGTCAGTATACGAGGGTAAGTCAATAAGTTACAAATGGATATAATCTTAAACAAATAAAAGAGTACTGATTTGAAAAATGCTTTTATTTCTCAACATAACCTCCCTGTACATTGAGGCACTTGTCCCATCGTTTCGCAAGCCCCTGAAAACCACTAGCATAAAATTCTTTGGGCTGCTGTCAGAAACAGGCAGTGACTTCCCTTTCTACAGCTTCATTGTCAGGAAAATGTTCAGTGGAAAGATTATGTTTAAGAGGGCCAAACAAATGGAAGTCGCATGACAGGTTAGGTTTTCACAAAGTCTGTGCACTATGGGTCCTGCGCATGCTGACCCCACAACACAAAATGCAGAGAATGGGTCTGGCATTACAGCATCTCAATTGCTACCATGATATGCTAGCCCAAATTGTCACAGGTGACGAGTCTTGCTCCAAGCAACTTCCATTTGTTCGGCCCTCTCAAACATAATCTTTCGGCTGAACATTTTCCCCCAACGATGAAGCTGTAGAAAGGGAAGTCACCGGCTGGTTCCTACAGCAGCCCAAAGAATTTTATGCTACTGGTTTTCAGGGGCCTATATATGCATACATGTTATTAATATTACTATGCAAGTTTAAGCCACTTAAGTTCAATGTAAGGGCCAATTTATTCATGGATCTAAGTAAAATTTTGTAATTTCTGCAGTTCTGTTAACAAGTTCTGATGAGGTTCCATACAAGATTTTTTCTTTGAAATAAATTCCAGTCAGTATACGAGGGTAATTCAATATGTAAGTTACAAATGGATATGGAACTTAAATAAGAGTTGGCACTAACTTTGCCGGCAAGCGACGGTCGCTTGGTTGGTATAGTTTGCTTGCAGACTAAAATCACGGATTTTGTTTTTTGTTTATGCCTCTATGTGTATCAATATCAAATGTTCTTCAAACCATTCCAGGAAAAATTTTCATTAGTGCAAACACATTTTACAAATGTGGTCTAAGTTGTTAGAATGAATTTGAAATAAAATGGGAAAATGATCACTATTTATACAAGTAACAACACAAACAGATAACAGAATCTGGAAAGTAATGCTACATAAAATAAAACTGGTTTACTGTTTATCACTGTTTATTAAATATATGTCATAGTACAAAAGTTTTAGGATCTTGGCCTTTCTTTCTTTTCCTTGTACAAGGCAAGGAGTGAAACATTTGCAACTTTCACCACCTTGAACCGCACACCTGAAACATGACAAATCAAGTGTTACAGACTCTCAAACATACATTCCACATATTACCCCCCAGTACTGACCCGCTCAAGGGATGAGGTTAAAAGCAATAACTTTATAGATTTAAACTATAAATGCTGCTTAAATCTAAGAGAAAGGACTTGGAATTTGTTATTCTGAAATCCTGAAGCACCATTACAATATACCAGTTATCTTATAACACCAGCACATACTTACCAGGAATGTCTCCCACGGCATGTCCTTTTCGACCAAAGCCTGCAACAAGCACCTCATCATTTTCCTCAATGTAGTTTAAGCAACCATCCCGAGGAACAAATGCTGTAATCTTCTTTCCATTTTTAATCAGCTGAACTCTTACACATTTACGGATAGCACTGTTTGGCTGTTTGGCCTCAACACCTCTGGAAATTCATGAATACAGGAAAACATTTCATTAAACACAAGATATAAAACAGAGCTGAGTTGCAGTATGAAAATTGAAGTAACTGTCAATCTCAAACACCATCAGGTAAAAGCAAAGAACTTGCAGTGCAAGTGTCTAAGAAAGTGCTAGTGACTGTTCTAATCATTCTGCTGGGATCAGGGAGTTTCATTAAAAATTGCACCAAATGTCCCCAAGTCATTTATGTGCATGGTAATTTTTCTGGAGGATTATGGTAATAAAATGCACGTAGTAATAATAATATATATACAGTCAGAAGTGCCTCTCCACACTCCACCAATACACTCAAAATAATGTTTACACTTACAGGTAGGACAGGACGCTGGTAGAGGAAAGGATGATGAGTTGACAACACATACAACAATTTAACCAAAATTATCAAAACAGAACAATGCAGCTTATCTTACACTTTTTCTAACACAATTCCTTTTGCATGTGATGCTCCACCAAAGGGGTTAGCCTTCCATCGCGTACCAAGATGAGCCTTTTTGTAGTCATTATCTGCCCATCTTTGTTCTCGGCGATGATTCACGTGCTTACGAGCAGTGCGCAGTCCACGAGGCTTACCTAAATAAAAGCATACATGTATCTTAAGAAAAAGTTAAAAAATTAAAGTTGTCCTTGTGCTTAACAAATTAGGCAAGACATCTTGGAGGTGTACAGAGGAGTGGATGCACAGATCCACATTTTCTTGACCTCAGCACTAGCTGGAGGTGAGCAGTCAGTTTCATGCCCCTGCCGCTTTACCCCAGAGGAAAAGCCCCTCATACCCACTGGAGAGAATGTTGGGTGGATCCCAGAGCTGGTCTGGATGACGTGGAGAAGAAAAAATTCTTGACCCTACTAGGACTTGAACTCCGAACACAGTCATTCAGCCTGTAGTCAGTCACTATACCAACTGTGCTATCCCAGCTCCTTGCAAACACATCTAATATATCTTTAACTTACATAAATAAAATACACACAAAAGCTTGGACAGTAATCAGGGCACGGCACACACAAATAAATAAAAGCTGTCAACACTGTCATACAAATCCACACTCCACTAGAGGACAAAAACATCTGTAAGCCTATAACAAACAAATTAAACTGACCAAACCTAAAAAACACAACTAACACTGGGATTAACAGATTTAAAACACTTGTAACAGCATCCGTAATAGGACAGGCCCAACTGCTTCCTTTTGGCATATTTAAATTCCAGGGAACTGTCTTACTCCCACAGAAAGTTTGGAGCACCAAACGATTCAACTAATTCCGCAAAGCACCAAAAAAGTACAATATGGGTCCCAAACATGTTTCCGAAAATTTTTTATTCCAAATGCTCCATCCTGGTTAAAATATTGTTTAGTACCTTAATTTGCCTTAGGGGATAAAAACGGTTCCTGCACTAACTACATTTCGCTACGTACTTCTGAAATAAGTATTCGTATATTGCTTCGGGCATCTTTAGAATACGCCTCATGTTCATTTCGGGTTATACGTATCTCACAACGAATTCCCACTAATTAAACATTAAGAAGAATGCTCTTCCAGAATTCAAGGGATGAAAACATTATTTTGTTCGAAAGTTACGACAATCATAAGAATGAGTACATAACATTCTCCAACACGTGTTGCATACGCAACCACGTTATAATTAAAGACGGGAATATTCGGATTGCGCTTATGGCAACATTAATCACTACATTATTTTCTTAAGGTTACAGTATGTAATATGTATAATCTGAAACCCAACTTTTAAGTTCTGAGAGTGGACTCTTGGTATAATAAACTATACTTACCCATGGCTGATTGTTCGCCTTCCAACAGCAACAAGAAGGAACAAGTAAAATGTTATTTCCGTTTCGCGTTCACTACGAGGACGACGAGGACTATGTGAGAATTTCGTTTAGGGTGTGTTCAGATCGTTCAGATCGTTTCAGATAGAACCAAGGCATACGGTCAATGACAGTCAAACAGGACACCATGAAGGATAGATGTGATCCGTGCTCTTTCCTAGGCGAAGAATGTTGGTGGGATGTTATGTTGATTGGTGTATGTGACGCGTCAATTAGTAATACTAGTAATATACAATCTCTCACTCAGTCGTGAAATGATTAATTAATACGAAGTTAATATTCTATCATAGCGGATTAAAGTTCGAATATGATGCTGGAATGCATTGTGTAATTACATTACTAGTTTTGAGGTTAAAGAGGAAGTTTCATATTGGATTGCGACAGGAATCTGTGATAGTTATGGCCTAATTTAGGTATGAAGTTATTATTATTTATTGTAGAGTGTTAAACTCAGAATCTGATTCAATGACGACAAGCATGGGATAAAAATCCTTGCATGTAATACATCTGTTATGTTAAGAATAGTCACGCTTTTGGTGTGACGCCATGTAATCTGACAGAACTTCCAAGTTTCGAACGGACATACTGCCGCCGTTGTCAAGGCTGAAGAAAACTCCAAGCAGGCCAATCTTCAACCGTGATATCGCAGATAATAGGGAGGGTATGTCCCTCTGAATTCTCGGTAAACTTCTACCAGAGTACACTGCGTTATTTCATGAAATATAACATTTACACCACAAAAGACTCTGACCTACATAAGTATGACACGAGAAAGAAAGAGGACCTTCACGTGCAAAGTTATAATACCTTAATATATGAGAAGGGTGTTACAAATATGGCTATTAAGCTTTATAATAGACTGTCTTTGGAACTAAGAATGGTAAAAGCAGATAGAGAATTCCTACATAGACTCAAAAGATATTTACTGGAACACCCATTGTATAATTTGCACGAGTTCTTCTCAGAAGGACAGTTAAACGAATAAGAGTCTCCTTGATAAATACATTTAAGTGTAAATAAAATGACTAGTAATTAGGTGAAGTTTTTAATATGATTCAGCCTATAAAGGGAATGGAAGTCTTAAGAGAGATTGCACTCCAAATTATTTAATCAGTATCTAAATTGAATTTTATCTTTTGTGGATTATTTTGATATAATATGTTTTTAGTTTAAGAATGTGACGGTGGTAATTAAGATATATATAGTAAGATGACCTTGTTTTTTATAATGGAAGGTAGTCATAAATTTGATTATACCTAATATATTTTAATTATACCAAGAGTGTGATTTTAATTGTAATTGAATGTTATGTTATGTGATATATGATGACCTTCAATCGATTGGGCAGGAGGCCAATTAGACTGGAAAAGTTGTATATGTATGTGACTTGTTTGAGAGTTACAATTTGTAACTGTGATGAGTGTTAAATAAAATTATTATTATTATTATTATTATTATACAGGGGGGCTCTTTCCCTGGGGGTAAAGCAGCTGGGGTGTGAAGCTTAACGCTCACCACCAGCTGGTGCTGAGGTCAAGGAAATGTAGATATATACATCCATTCCCCCATACAACTTTGTGGTATAGTGCTTAATTAGTTAAGCACAGGAAAAACTTTACCTTTAGCTTTAAAAATGTTTAGTGAGTTATGCTTGATATACTTATTGAAATGCGTGCTGATTGTAAGGTAAAGTGGATGTTAAAGTTGTCCAATTAAAATGAAAATTTATATGGTTCAATAATTGACTTTAAAATTCTTCAGTAGAAAATTTTGTGAAAATCCATTCCAGCCCCCCTTGAGTTATTTGCACAAACAGACGGACAGAAACCCTGAGAGAATTTAATAGTTGTTCCACAGGAAAGAAAGTGCTCCTGAAAAGCCACAAACCAAATAATATATGCATTGATAATGGGAGTATTCTGTATATTATTTTGTTTTGAAATTGCTAACATTTCTAATAAGGTAAAACACTGGAATACACTGTGCTGTCCATGTTTTGAAGTGTAAATATGCATATGATACAGTGTTGACAGTCACTTTTCCCCTGTTGTATTTTCAGATGAATCTTGTGCTTACTGAAGAAAGAAAACTGGTTCACACATCAAAATGGTTATGACGCTGTTTCAGTTCAGTCAGATGGGATGGAGAGAAATATGTAAGAAAGTTAAGAAAGCTGTTGTATATATTGATAATGAATGTGCAGAATGCTTGCATTGGAATGGAGGACTAATGCTAATGATGCGAGCTGGTGCTTTGACTGTGAAGGAGTTTTCAGCATTTGAGGTGTGGTATCTGTTTTTGTCAAGTAGGACACTATTTATGATCTCCATGTGTTCATGTTATGTCATTCTCATGCCAAAGTAGTTTTCACATGCTATGGCAGATCTGCATTTGAAACTGAGCCATCTGAAGGATAAACTTAATTAATGGTTTTAAGGCAGAATTTAGGGAATGAGAAAAATATGCAAGTGAGATCAATTAAATGGGAAAAAGGAGTGAAGGATGAAGGAATGAAAAAAATGTTTCTGTGTTAAATTGTTACCTGTGTATTTACTGTTTAAATATTGTTGGGATCTGTTTATATACCTGAGGCAGTATTAATATAAGTTTAGAATAACTGACAAGCTCAGTGACAGAGTCTGTGAAAGCTGAAAAATAATGTGGCATGCCTAGGATTGCTTGGAAAACGTAGGTATAGATCAGTGGATAATATTTAAATGGAAATAAGGTGTGGACAGGATTTGTCTGGCTAGGGTTATTTTGCTGTAAGTGATAACCCAAGGAAGTTATGCATGTGGCTTGAGAGTTCATATGTACAGTGCTATTTATCTTCTGAGTTGACGTGTTATGATCAGACATTTTTTTGTATTCAGTTGTTCTATGTAAGTTCAACTCAGAACTTCATATCCTCAGCCATTTTACTAATAGTATACTTCCGATGTGCTGAAGAGTAGGCAGGTTATTTTGATTTTGAAATGGAAATGTATGAGCAGACAGCAAGGAAAATAAAGTGAAAAATGAAAATAATCCGCTGAAAATTAAGGAGGCTGTGGGTTGATGTCAGATAATATATTTCTTTGTAATAATTTCAGCATTTATTAAACAATACAAAGTATACAAGCATGTATCAAAACAAAAATCTGCAACTTAATGATGATTTTACTATACATGATAAATAATTTGGAAATTTTGCAGAGCCTAAATACTTTGGAATTAAACATTAAAGAACAAATTAGAAACACAATTAATTTAAGAAAATAAATTCCAGAAATTTCTAATTATTTTTTGGGTCATGAACTGCTACCAGCTTGTGACAATACTGTAGTTTAAGCTGCTTAACATTTTTATCGGTTGTTTTGTTTGATTGAGGAACATGGTCCGTTATGCAGGTGGGACTTAATTTACAAGTGAGATTTGTTATTCTCACAGTGTTGAGTATGAAGGTTGAGGTCTTCAGGAAGTTTCAGATGAACATGGTGCCTGCATCCTCAGCACATAACGAGAGTAAGCCGTGAGGTAACAAGACACCTAGATAGGGACCAAAAATGAGGAAGGAGTGGTTCCTCACACTGACCTTTTTTTAGGGCCTTTTGGTGATTGCCTTTTTAGATTGTCTTTTCCTCCATCATTTTCCATGCATTCATCACTGTTCCCCTTTCATGAGACCATATGTGACCATATGTACCCTACCTTTCCTCATTTTTCTAATCCCATCTTTAGCTGACAGTGCACAGGTATGACCATATTAAGTGTTACTGTCCTCCTTGAAGCTGTATGTATTAACCTACTTCCATACTTCCTTCCTATTCCCTTTTCACCTGGTGACACACAGCTGCACTTGCCTTTCATTTTGCTGCACATTTATGTGACCCTGTGTATTTACCTGCTTCCTTTTCTTCCTTCATTTTCTTATACCCTTCTCAGCAGGTGATGCAGAGATTCATCTGCATACATTGCTATTGCCCTTTTGTGTAACTCTGTGAAGTGACTTCTGTCCCTTCATTCTTTTCACCTGGCAGTACACAAAATTGTTTGTTGTTCAATGGGTCTGTATGGATAAGTCTATTGAGAAGTCTGCCTGGTCTTGGCATGCTTTCTGAAACCCTGGACCAACCTGTCTTTTCTGTTTGCACTTCTCTGGAGTTCATGTCACCTCTTTTCCTCCATTTTTTGCCCATTTAAGGGCTAGCTCTCCTGCTTGCAGCCCCAATTCCTCTCTCAACTTCCTGTATATGAACTTCCTTTACCCATGCAGCTTACTCTTCTACCCTGATGATGGAGGCAAACTGTTCCTCCAAAACAATAAAACATCACGGAAGACTGTAATGTTTATAAATTATGAGTATCTGAAAATAAAGTTCTAAGGAAATATGTGGATCCGAAATATCTGAAGGGTAAAATTTAGACACACCAAAATTTTAATGAGAACATGCTGGGGGGGGGGGTAAACCTGCTATACCCCATACTGTAAGAGACACACAGTTTTAGGTAACATTCTCCATGGAAAAGGTGTATGTTATATTCCAGACAATATAATAAATCACTTTATTTAATATGGAACGTTAAATATAGTATCTTTATTTTTCCAGAGTGATAAAGAAAAAGAGCATAAAAAGGCAGTTTTCATTTTAAGTTCTCCTGTATTTGGCACCACAAAAGTTATCCTGCAAGATATAATACAGAACAGTAGCTTTGATTACTGTGTGCTCATTACATCAGCTAATGCAAGAGTTCACCACTTTGCCAAGTACGGTGGCCACCAAGAAGGAATTCATGATATGTTCATATTTCATGCTCTTGAAGAGGAGATGCTTGAGTGGATGGGGAACAAGGTGCATAGAAATATATGTATCGACACTGTTAGTTTTTTAAGTGATAGAATTTTACAAGAAAATATATTTACTAAATGAATCCAGCTTTCTTTAACATTTTAATGGAATAACTATGTGAGATGTTGGTTTTATTTTTCTTGTTGTAAATCAATAAGTATTTAAACTCATTGTCCTGAAGTTAAAATTTATGAAATAGGACAAGAAAATGTAATGTAGCGTAAGCAACCTCAGTGTATTTACAGTTAGTTCCTTACTAACAATCTAATGCTTTGTAAGCAAACTTAAAGTTTCAACTCTGTTAGTAGTAACTCCTACCATTCGTACATACTCTTGAGACATCCATTTCCTGTCCTCATAGCCTGCTTCCATAAGATTCACTTTAATATTATCCTTTCATATCCTATTTCAAGTGGTGATTTTCCAGGTTGCCAAAATTCTATTTAGAATCTTTTTCTAAGTTATCTTATCTACACAACTAAGTAATTGTAGCCTCTTAGATTTCACCATCCAAACAATGTTAAGTGACCTTGTTATGTAATTTTCTAAATTGCCCATGTACATTTTTCATAAGTACAAATATTTTTCTGAGAACCCTGTTTGCAGACATTTGTAATTTATTTCTTCCCTTAAATGAAAGGAGGGCCCATGCTATGAACAGGACACATATCGATATAACATATTTGCTCAGAATCACGTGAGTAACAGCTGCTCTGATGTTTGGCCACTTTCTGCCCATGCACCCAGTGTATCAGGAATACAAATCGTTGCACATGCAACATAAAAATGTTTAAAGCATGAGTGCTGTGTGTGTACAAAATTATTTGATGTCAGGGAACTATATATTCTTTTCATTTTGCAGTCTTATGCTGTAGAGGTGATATATTCACCACTGTTCATAGTGCCTCTGACTGAGATGATGTTCCTCACCCCAACATTCAGAAATGTTTTTCCTATCACTGATGCACATATTGCACGGATCAGGGAGCTACAGCGTTCTCAGCATAAGGTGAATGTACAGTATTTGTATTGTATGGTTGTTCTCATCACCATAGCTGACTTGTGCAGTAATTCTTGGTTATTGGAGGGATGTAACGCTATTGTTTGTTTAATTCTTTAGTGAGTGTATGTGTATAGGAGTGAATGTTGAGTGTTAAGTGACGTGACATTTTAATTGCTGAAAATAAAAAAGAATAATTGTGAAATAATCTGTTCTCCTATGAATGCACTCAGACTTCCACGCCCATGCACATGTGCTGACTAATCTGGTGATAGGTATATGTTATAATTCATATTGTACAGATTGTTCTTAAACTGTGCTGCAATTCTTTGTCATACACAGAGCATAGAGTCTAGGAAAATGGTAATTTTGGTGAAATTGCATATAGGAGAAGGGTCTAGAAGAATTCTTACAACACAGAAAATGATATTCCATTCTTTGTTTAACTGATCATAATGTGAATGCTGTACATTAGGCATCGGTTTGTAGTATTTTTGATGACAGGTAATTTTACAAAACTTCTGTCTCTTTTATTTATAATTTTACTTACTTGCAATGTTTAGGTGATGACAGGTAATTTTATAAAATTGATGTTTATCATTTTTAATTTTATCTATTAAAGTAATTTGCAAGATCCAAATAGTTAATGTTGTATTCATGGAGCTGGAGATAGTCCATGGTGTAGCCTACCGATTGTTTATGGTTTGTGCTTCAGAACTTATTTAAATTGGTAATTCATTATCATATACATTTTCTTTTGCAAAAGAACTGTGTCAAAGATGTCATCACTATCATAATCATATGTATAAAATCTTTTCATCCTTTGTTGTCTGTTTCTACAGTTCTATTCTGGTTGATAGGATAACATATAACTTGCCATGCAGTGAGAAAACAGTCTGTGTGTACTCTGGTCCCATAAGCAACATGGTTTAGGAATGTAAGCTAGAAGGGAAGGCTATACCATAAGTGTATTTTGTGCTCTTGATTACTTCGTAATATTTAATTTGTACTAGCAGGTTGTTAAGAGCCAGTCATTGGATTCTTTGTCCTCTGTTGAGCTGACACATCTTCCGTTGGAGGCACAGATATCTGTCCATCACCTCGTGGGTTGTCTGCACACCTTATTTACACAGCTTGAGATTCGAGAGGACATATATAGCCTTGGGCACCTCAGTGGGCTTGTGGCAAACCAATTGGAAATCCTCCCAGAAGCAAATAACAGACGTAAAGTGAGTGTATTAGTCTCAGTGTATGCAGTTCATTTTTATTTAACTTTAATTTTAAATGCAGAGTTTGCAGAGTATTTGAATCTAATTAAATGATTTCCTTATTCAGACAGCTGCTAATCATTGTTCACTAATTCTGATTGACCGCACATTGGATCTGGCAAGTGTGACAACTCACGATACAGAGTCACTTTTAGATAGGATTCTAGCAGTGTTGCCACGCTTACCTGGACACAGCAGTGATGTCGCAGTCAATATGTCGCCTGTTTGTGACGCCAAAGTGTAGGTACGATTCAATAATGTTTCTTATTAGAAGTAAGTAATTCAAACCACATTATAATTTTATATTATGACTTCAGAAATAATGAACAAGAGAGAGAGGCAGTGATATTTGTAGATATTTCTTTATATGCTTGGAGGGGGCTGGCAAGGTTGATGTTATGAGGCTCAGTATCAGAAGAAACTGATAGAATGGTGTAAGTCACATTATTTTAAGAAATAAATTACCTTTTGTATAGTAACTGAAAAGGAAAATAATTATATTAAAATTAGGAAAAGGATATAAGAGTATTGACTTCCCAGTGCACAGTCCCAGAGTACCAGTGTTTTCAGTCTTTGGTTTTTGTGGACTGTGTCTTTAAGTGTAGTTCATGCTTTTTGGGTATAGCTGCATTGTGTATTGAAGCTGTTTCAGTGTTTCATTGTATATTGCAGTCACCATCTTGTGGGTGAAAGAGGCAGAAGGAAGTGGCCTGATATATAAAAAGTAAAGCTATCCATGTAACAGGTCATGAAGGCCCATAGGGTTGTGAGACGTTGAGGGTCCCACATTATGTAGACATTCTGCTCAAAGATGGCGGTAAGGTTGTCAGCTTACGCGCCGGCCTTGCTTTACTCCCCAGGAAAATTATTTAATTAATTCCTCGTACTCATTTCTGTTAGATTCTGAGTCGATCCCAGGGCCATAGTGCAGCCAGAAGGGTTAGGTAAATTGAAAAAAAATCCTGTGACCTCATCAGTACTTGATCCCGCAACCTTCTGGCTTGTAGCATAGTAAGCAGCCCCTCCCCTCATAACCTAACTACAAAGGGGAAGACGCTGCTATCGTCCCCGGTTCCTTTACGTTGTTTCGCTATGCCTCGTGAGATAGAGTGGGATGTCCAAGCTGTATGCCTTGACTGACAATAGCCAGAAAAATCTCCAGATAACAACAATAACAAATATTTAATATAACAAAAATAAGTCAGATACAGTACAATAAAAATGCCATGAAATACAAACTCCCCTTGTGATGCCATAAAACAGATGTTGCATATTTGGGAGATCCCTCACCATCAACAGCCTGTAAAACAATTCAAGGGCCAAAAGAAACTTGAATTTTGAAAAGAAGGAAAAACAAAACCCCAGAACAAAATTACACTCACCATGTTGACAGCGAGGCACTCCTTCTTAGAAAAACAATCCTTCGAAGAGATACAAGTGCACACTAGTAAACAAGTCAAACACAGCTCAAAGGAATGTTGGGACCAATACAAAATCCCAAAGCAAGGCAAGATACACGCCCCAAGAAACCACTGAAATTAGCAACCCTCATCCCAAAATCAAGGGACATGCTACCCTTCCCCAGCTGGAAGAAGAAACCAAACAGAATTTAAGACTGACAAAAGCCAAATGGAATTTGGTACCTCCTCCTCTGACTGCAGTAACTGAGCACCTCCAAACAATGGCCTCAACCCCAAGGAGGGACACTACTTGCATGGCCCAAAAGAGAAAACCAACTGGATTTCAAACCAACCCAAACTAACAGAATTTCACCATCTCCTTCACCGGCCTTGGAAGGGCAGGTCCATTACCTCCTCCTACAACTGCTACCGAGTCACCTTCCTACTCTGACCATGTTAGAAACTGCTGGAGGGTGGGGGGTCACATGGTAGGCATGGAACGGAACAACTTTTGAAAACACTAGAACTTCTGAAGAAAAAAAAGGGGGGTAGGAAGAGAAGCTGCTGAATGGAGCCATAAGTAGAATGCATGGCTCAATATTGTCTCAACCAACTATGCTACCATGTGCCCTGGCCCAGTATGTAGGAAAAGGAATTAATATTATACAAGACACATTACATAGTAATGGAATATAATAAAAACTTAAGCACAAGATATCCAAATCAACACAAACACAGCAAAAACACAGCTTGACAACACCAGAAAACGAAATGGGCCATTTGCACATACAGTGGAAAAGAAAGTAAAAAAATTACCAAACTCTTTAATGAGACACACATAAAAATATCATTTTGAAAAAAAAAAACATAGTAAAACATCACCCACAAATAGAGAAATATAAAAAAATGGTGTGTACCAAATGAAATGTATGGATTTCCCACTAAAATACATAGGGCAGACAGGCTGAATCTTTTATACTAGACACACAGCACATACAAGCAATAAGGAATAATAATGGTAACTCAGGATATTTGAATCACATACTAAACACAGGACATGCATGTGGAGAATACAACTGATACGATGAAAATCGTAAAATAGAGAAAAAGAGAAAACATTTAAATACATTAGAAAAGTATCATATATATAAAATTAGTAAAAACAGAGTACACATGAATAATGCATATATTGATATCTATAACCCACTATTTGAAACATTGAAAGAATTAAACACTAGATAGCGACACATACACACCACAGAAGATAGAATCAGTCTAGCTTAGCAAGCACTCGTAATAAAGAGACACGACACAGTAAGAACTACCCATTACCTTGGGGTAAGTACATAAACAAGTAATCATGCAGAAGATTAACACATATTATATAAAAAAATACTAACATAAGACATTAATACATGTTACAGATACACAAGTGCATAGATGGAAACACATATCAAATACTGAAACTACAAAAATGGAATCATGGCAGTTTTCATCAACAATTTTGAACTCCTGCTGATGATCGAAATTGGTCAAAATGTGTAGTGTGATGTTGAGAAACTTTTAAATAAGTTCTAATTGTGATGTGGAGAAACTTAAATAAGTTTTAGAAAGAAAGCAGTCTTCTGGGATGTAGCACCATGTAGATGTGGTATAAACCGACGTTTCGGAGGAACGTATCGCCTCCATCTTCAGGGTAGAAAGAAAAATAAAATCTGCAAGCAAAGAGACTGGTCTGTTTGTACCGGTTCTCACAGTCTCTTCACTTGTGGATTTTCTTATTTTTCCTTCTACCCTGAAGATGGAGGCGATACGTTCCTCCAAAACGTCGCTTAACACCACATCTACATGGTGCCACATCCCAGAAGACTGCTTTCTTCATAGTCACCGCCGTGAAAACCTCTAATCTTACAAGTTTTAGAAAGATGTGTTGCACTAAGGAGGTTGATTTAGTGACTTCACATATGAACTCTAAGTAACTGTTAGAATTGTTTTGAACCTGCAGTTTTAATTCATTGCATGATGCACTTCTCTGTTTCAGTTCTTCTCCTTTGGGAAACATTGTTTTGGCACCTGGATGTCTTGCACATCCAAATATTGATCTCTGTTCACAGGTAAGTAATGTGGATGCATTACAATCAGTTGACAGTTATCATGATTGTTGTGAATTTTCTTGTTCCATGTCCCGTCATTTCTTTAGTTTTTCAGTCTGCTGTTTTGGAAAGTGACCTGGATGTATTATTCATATCACAAGAATAATAAAACTTCAGAATACCTCTAGTGTCATTTCAGTATGAAGTTGTGCTCTTTGATTACTACCGTGGAGCCACATTTTAATGATCCATGGTCCAGTTTGCATGTGACATAGCAACTGCCAGCTTGAGTCTGAGAAAGTAGCACTGTTGTCAAATCTTCATCTGAGCTCAACTGATTGAAGCATGCAGTTGCTGCGAGGAACATTGTTGTAGCAGGACACAGATCACAAATAAACCATACAAGTGACCGCATGCCTGGCCACCACGTGTCTGCCATCCAGTTGTGTTTAGAGGGAGACAGCCATTGGTGTTTCAGGGTTTCCAAAGCTGAGTGCTTATACAAAGGATCATTAAATCACAGCCAGACTGTAATCATAAGTGTTAATTGGAAGGATTTTTAGATAAGCAGAATCATTGAGCGCTGAATGACATGGATGTATGTTACTAGCACTGTTTATACCACTGCTAGTATTGTTTCTACCATCCAAGAAAATTTTATCACCACTAGTAATATAGTGTGAGCTGGGATAGCGCAGTTGGTATAGTGCCTGGCTACGGGGTGGATGATTGAGAGGCCGGAGTTCAAGTCCAGGTAGTGTCAAGAATTTTCTCTACTCCAAATTGTTCAGACCAGCTCTGGGGTCCACCCAACCTCCTATACAATGGATAACGGGGCTCTTTTCCCAGGGTAAAGCGGCAGAGGCGTGAAGCTTACCAATCACCTCCGTTTAGTGCCGAGGTCAAGAAAATGTGGATCTATATATCCAGTCCCCCATACATCTTCATGGTGTAGTGATTAATTCATTGAGCACAGGGACGTTTTTTATTAATGTAATAGTGTACTGTGTATGGATATGTTGTGTGGTCAAAAGATTTTTCCAGTTGACTGTAAGATCACACTGCGATAATTATTACAGGTGTCCTCTGTTAGATGGCGGTCGGATACAGTATGCTGAGTCATTTGCCATTAATTTCAAAACTGTAGGACATGTCATTAGAAACTGGGCCAAATTCAGATACTTAAGAGTGACAGTAAGAGATAAAAATTATGTTCACGAAGAAATTAAGAGCACTTTCAATTCAGGGAATGCTTTCTACTGTTCAGTTCAGCATCATTTATTTCTTCCACCTCCTATAAAAAAAAAATACAAATCTATTTTATCTGAAGATCGCTTTCTTCTGCAGTGTGATGCCATATAATGCAGTAGAAATTTACCATCACTTTGGAGGAACCTGCTCTTTCCATCTTCAGGGTGGAAGATTTGACCTGAAGATGGGGGCAACAAGTTATTTTGAAACATTCACTTTCTACCAGACTACACAGTGTCGCATGCCAGAAGACAGTAATCATCATATTCACCTTGTGATTACGTCCTGATCACTCACTCTGAGGGGGAAAAAACACAAATTGAGAGTGGCTGAGAAAGGTGTGCTAGGAAGAATATTTGGATCTATGCCTGCACCAGATATTTCTGTGAGCAATAGAAGGAAAATCATAAAGGAAGAAACTGTTTGGGAGACCTAAGGCATAAGTTGAGGGATAATATTAAAGGACCATAGATCATAAACGAATGGTGTGAGGACATGGACTTGATATATCTGGCCCAGTATAGTGTCCAGTGGAGGACCCTTGTGAACGTGGTAATGATCTTTTGGCTCTATGAAAGGTGGGAAGTTCTTGATCTACCGAGTGAAAGACGGACTGATTCATGGAATTTTTTTGGTGTGTTTATCATTCTGTTATCACATCATAAATGAATTAATACTCTGAACTAATGCTTCCTGACTCACCATTGCAGTCTCAGTAATTAATTTAAAAATGTGCTGTAACCACTGTACCTGTGATAATTTCAACAAGAATGCTTAACAGTGACATTCAGCAATCAGAATGAACCAGGTATATTAATAACACTCCAGTTCTATATTCAGAGGTACACAGTTAAAATCTCAGTCCTGTTACATGTTATCCTAACGGGTATTTCATGGTTTCCCCCACCTTTTCCAAGTGAATACCTCGGTAATACCATAATTAATTGCTCGTTCTATTTAAGTATTCATATGTAGTGCTGTCATCCTAATTTTTTATGGATATTTAAATTCTGAATGAGGATATATTTGACATCATTGGAAGAGGCAGGCCCATTTAATTTTATTATGTTAAGTTGAAGGAGAAGATTGAAACAGACCACAACCACGTCCATCCAGATCCTTCTACATACCATTCATGATCATCTTCATGTCTTTGTCAGTTTGAATGGTATTGTTAAATGGCTTAAGAATCAAACCAACCATTCTGTATACATACGGTTCATTTGATGATGTAGGTGCTGGAGTGGCTTGTGAACAAGCCACAGAAAGATATTCTGTTGAGTCTTCATCACCATTTAAGTACACTAGCACCAGGTGGAGGGAGTGATCGAATTGGAAAATTGACACGTGTCACACCACACTCAATTGATAAGCAAGTAGCCCTTTTCAGGGGGCACAAAGAAGCAATCTACCAGTGCAGTGGTCTCCTGCAGGTAACTATGGTTTGTTGCTGCAATATTATAGAAGTATAGGTTGTAGAATGTTTATTTTGGAATATGAAATTCACAGTGAAATATTTTATCAGTATTACTTGAATATGCACAAAACATAGAGTTAATGTTTTATTTGTTATATTGCTCGAAGTTCACAATAGAATCATGGTGATATTTTTTATTCTGCTTGACACACACAATGCTTTAAAGGGTCATTATTCATATATCAGCATTATTAAATATTTTTTTTAAGTAGTTACAGTGTAGAGTGAGGAATACATTTTGAGTTTCAGTTTACATTATGCTAATGAAAATAGGATCACGTGAAAACATTTAGAGCATCGTATTGGAAAGAACTGAAAAAAAAAAAATGATTTCCAGCAGTGTTTCCAGGCATGTCCCAGATGGAATGTGCACATACAGTCAAAATGAAACTGCAGTCACTAATGGTTAATGATAATGTGTGTATATTCTCATTAGAGAAATAATATGGTTATTTAATTGTCAAATATAATGCCACAATTGTTCTATGTTTATTGGGAAGGAAACTTCAATATAGACATTCATAACTTGTATAAATTTCTAACATGATGGCTTGTTTTTTGCTACAACTTCATTTTTAATTAATTAAATGTAATTAAAATACTAGACTTATAAGGGATAACTTTTTTCAGCAAGCTTTGGCTGTAACACAGACATTAGACATTCATAACTTGTATAAATTTCTAACATGATGGCTTGTTTTTTGCTACAACTTCATTTTTAATTAATTAAATGTAATTAAAATACTAGACTTATAAGGGATAACTTTTTTCAGCAAGCTTTGGCTGTAACACAGACATTAAGAGCTCCTCGTTCATCTCAATTGGACACCATAGTTAGCATTGAAAAGTTGCTAGTACAGAATCTGGGCTGCGCTAAGGATGGAGTTGGAATATTGTCTCAGGTAAATAGCAGCAATTACAAATGAAAATATACCATATGCCTAATTGGGGCTTTAATAAATATTTAACATTTGTTATAGGACTCACATTTTCAGGTGACTCAAAAATGACAGGACTCATTGCTTAGCGCTGTTTTGTTTGGGTGATACAGTTTGTGAAGTTCTATCATTAATGAAGGCTCTTACTGTCAGACATCCTGAGCCCTCCGGCAAGTGCTGATTTTACATGTAGTACTGTAATACTGTTACATTTAGGTGACACAGCTTCTGAGAACTCGTCGTGAACGAGGGCTGTTGATGCGAGACATCCTTGGGCTTTTGATTCATCTCTTTTCCTTGGCAGGCACTGATTTCCTGTTCCCAGCAATGGAACAGAGTCATCTACTAAATGCTCTGAAACTGGCATTATATGAAGACCGAGGGCAACTACAAGGAAATCTTTCTGAATTAGGTAACTACAAAGCATTGGTCAAATTATATTTCGTTGAGAAAGACTTTCAGGCATATAAAATAGAAATAAATATTTGGTGATATTTGTTTTGAACTTCACATAGTGTTGAAAGTTGTCTAACTATAAGATACTTCATACAAAGAATAAATTTATTAAATCAAAACATTGTTATAGATTAAATGGGACAAATCATTTTGCACTCAGCGTCAAATAACTGGCATTTGTTTTGATATTGCCTGTTCGCCACAGGGACCAGATTGTTACTCTTACAGTAAATGTTGTAACATATTGCAGGATGATACGGGCCATACAGTTGTAGTATAGACTACAAGTTAAGACTATAGCCAATGAGCAACAAGATTTTATAAGAGCTCTGTAATTGTGTTGTTAGTTTAAGATGGTAGATTTATTCTTCCATGAAGAAATTGAAGTACGTAACTCTCCTACAAAAATTTTATGCCTTCCAAAGAAAATGAAGCTCTTGAAATATGTGAACAGTTCCACTCACAATCCAACTTGAGTTTTCTCAGATTTTCAATTTTTAACACAGTTAAACGCATTCCAGTTACTTCTGTAGCCTTGCTTCTGTGGTGTTTGTCTTTATGTTGTGACATGATTAAACATAAAAACCCTTGAGACAACAGACACTACTGTTAATGTTGGATGCATTGTAGCTCATCTTCCTTGACGGATATTTTTTACCAAGCATTATAGTAGTTGCCACTTTACTTGTCATTTAGAAAATCCAATATTCAATCTCTTAGGTTGGCCACACTTAAATGATATTGTAGCAATTCTCCTCAGTGTATCCGACAAATTCTATAAACTTGACCATGACCATTTCGTTTGTAATTTACATTTACTGTCACCTTAAAATTTGTATTCCTTCCATGAGTCTCATAGCAGAAGTTTGTAATGTTAAAGTATAGCGAAACAGACAACATAAAAAATTTGAACTTGAGGTATCTAACATATTCCAACAACAAACACTGAGGGGATTAGAAGGTGTGGGATTCAAATTCTTTTCGGATTATACTGTCGATTTTTATCCATAATTTGCATGTTCATATGTATTTGCCTTATGGCATAATTAATATATTAATGCATCTGTTCAGTATTTTGAAGAATAACATTTGTAAATAGTGTACTCAGTATTTTCTTTAAAGTTGTAAGGAAAATAAAAAATAACACAGATTTCCTTTAGTGTTTGTACAATGTTTTATTTTCCTTCTCTTATAATGTATTAGTATGTTGTTATTTTCATATAACTCTCATTCTTATTTTCCTTAACTTTGCAGTTAATTCAATGGCAGAAAATGATTTTGCAGAAATAGCAGGAGATATTTTCAGTAAACTTCAGTACATAGCTTCAGCAAGGAAGGCTCTGGTGCGATACAGGTACGATTTAAAACAGCTGTTATGGAATGACACCAGCAACTGTGTTTACACTTTTATCAGATGTGGTGATAATATGTTGAGGGAGAAGATACTTGTGAACAATAGTCCAGATATTCTCCTTTAGTTCAGCAAAGAAACTGGCCTAAAAGTTAGATAAAAATGAGGTGTATGAAAACAGCAGTTAACCTTTTTGTTATATAAAAGGTGGGGAATTTCTGGAGTAGCCAAGTAGCTGTTAACTTCTCAAGAAAAATTCCTCTCATACAATTAGTTATAGAAATATGACCCTAAATCAAATGATCAACTAAATAAAACCAGTGCTTTTTGCCTTTCAGTATGAGGCTGTAAGCAATACAAGTACTTTTTTAAATATAGAAAATGTATTATTAAAAACAAGTTAATAACATTTTTGAAAAAGTATTACATGTTGATCAATATACTGAATCTTTTTAATATGACACATATAATGCAGTACAGAGCATATGTATTATCTCTTTTAATAATTCTTGGCTCTTGACTTGAGTGCAGTTATCTTTTATTCCAGAATAAAAAAACATTGAATATAACCATATGTAATGAAACATTTGGGAATGTTTCAGGTCACAATCTTAAGTATTTGGGAATATCTTTATTCTGACTCATTGCATCTGCAGTCTTGTGTGTCCAGTACCTTGAACTGTAGGATATTCTACTCACACAGTGACATTACCTGTGGAAACTTTGTAGTACAGCATGTAGGTCTAAATCTCTCTATAGGCATGTCAAGTTGAGGGATTATATATATATATATATGTGTGTGTGTTGTTTCTGTGTAGAAACTTGGCTGCAGTTGACAGCTTAGCATCCTGTAATGTAATTATTCATGTTTTCCCTCCCTAATATTTTTCTCTGTTATTTCTCTCAGAACTCTTCTCTCTCGGCCCACTCCATCACATCCACTCACTTATCACAGTTTGCTTCATCAGCTCATGGCTGATGTTCTGCATCCTGATTGTCCAGATCTGCCTGACTTGACATGTAAATCTACAGGATTGAAAGACTTACTGAAAAGCGGATTCAGGTATTACCAGTAGAAACATATTTTATAAAACTTCAATTAAAACATTTAAACAATCTCCACATGAATATGACAACACACTTTTTGCTGTATTTATGAGGAATTTGGTGATGACAATAACAGTATGCTGGGTAATATTAATATGCATTGTATGGAAATAGGTGTCAAGGCGTGGACTGGAGTCATCTGTCTTAAGATGGACTCCAAGTATGGGCTGTTATGAACATGGTAATGAACCTAGAGTTTCATAAATGGTCAGAAATTTCTTGACTATCCAGGTGACCATTACCATCTCAGGGACTGTGATGTATGGAGTTATTTACTTTATAGCTTATGAACATGAAACTGAGAAAACAAAATATCTAATATTGTGATAATTGAACTGTAACCACAGAACCCCACATGAGATAAAACTTTGTGTGTGTGTTCTTGCATGCATGCATGCTGTGAAATGAGGATTTCCTTTTGCAGAATTTGCAGAGAAGTGTAGATTCAGTTCTCCAGAACTGTAAGCAAAGTTTCAGTTTTACCAAACATAGGAAGTTGGAATAGCTCAGTCAGTATAATGATGGACTATGGGCTGGATGGCCATAAGTTCAATTCCTAGCAGGGGCAAGTGTCCGGACTGGCTCTGGCACTCATCCAGCCTCATATCCAGTAGGTAACAGGGGTTCTTTCCTGTGGGGTAAAGTGGCTGGGGTGTGAAGCTGACTACTTACCACCAGCTAGTGCAGAGGTCAAGAATGGTGGAGCTGTCCTTTCACTCCCCAATACATCTTCATGGTGCCATGCTTAATTAATTAAGCACAGGGACAACTTTACATTTTTTACCCTTTTATAGTGTTTAATATACCACTGTAGGAGAGGTAACAGCCAGGAAATACATTACTTGACTAATTAAAATTAAGGAGAAGTAAAATCTTAATTTATGTAATATTATGTAAATTACTTTGTGAACAAAAACATTTACTACATGAAGATACCATGATTCTGGTTTTCAGTGCCATTCATTTTGTAGCATGTAGAGCCGTTACTAGGTAATGCACACGTTCACATGGAAATGATTTGAATAATGTCTCCACAGCAACGAATCAACATGCAACAATAGAGGACTGTTGGGAACAGTATTTTCAGCTCAGTCTGTGCAAAAGGGTTATACAGTGCGTACAATCAAGTGCGCGCCGCGACTGCAATTTGCCGTGAGTCATACCACCGCAGAACGGATGCAGTCGCGGGGAGTGTTGCAACTCCTCCCCGCGACTGCATCCGTTCTCCGGTGGTATGACTCACGGCAAATTGCAGCCGCGGCGCACACTTGATTGTACGCACTGTATAACAAGGACACCAGCCTGGGAGCTGAGTTGTCAGTTGAAATTCAGCCTGTGAAGAGAAGACTAGGAGGTTGGTGTGAAATGGCTGCCAGCCTGGAAGTTAGTCCGTTGTAACAGAAGCGGTTGGAAGAGAGCTGTCATTCAGAAAGGACTTGAGCTCAAAAGCAGAAGAATGGCCATTGTTGGAACACTTACCAGGCAACTACTAGTGAAAAGAGTGCGAGCATGTGCTCTAGTGATTTGTAAAGTGTGGAAACAGTGATGGCACTATAATTAAGTGTAATTACTAGTTGTGTGCTAAAGTGGTCAATAAATTCAGTATCCAATCCAAAACCCTGGCTAATGCCACTCTAAATACATTATAACTGGTGTCAGAAGTGGGATTGGATTGAATTGTTGGACTCAACATGGCAGTAGATAGATGTATTATTAGCCTACAAAAATTGAACAAAAGGCAGAAAGATGATGGAACGCCTGCTGGTCAGGATAGCTGCCATGCAGGAAAAATGTTCTGTCACCACAGGGAGATAATGGCAGAAATTAGGGCCTGGCAAAAGAGAGATTAAGGCTGACCAAGAAGTAGCAGTGACCTATCCAGAAAAGATGGGAGCCAATCCAGAGGAAATGGAAGTCTGTAGTGGTGCATGAGGAAGTCCCCAAAGAAGAGGCTGCAGTGAAAACTGTCAGAGCACTGAAGGAACAGTACAGGGACTGGGATCTAACCGTAGGGCACTGCCGACAGCTGAGAAATGGACCCAGGGCAAGGGTGGTTCCTGGAAGAAATAGGCTGCTGCCCGCAAATAATGACCCACCATGCAGGAGCAGCATGGTATAAGGGATACAGTCATACAGGACTGTCAGTTGAGCAGGGACAATGGAAAAATCAGATGAGGGATGTTTCAAGAGGAACCTCAAAAGGACGGACTTCAGGAAAAGACAACCAGATGGAAAGCATGGCAACATTTTATGAGGCCCCCAGACAAACCATCAGGCTGAAGATAATGAAGCAAACAGTCAGGCCTTTTATCAGGATTTGAAAAATGAGTGTCAAAACATTGTGTAGGAGCTGGTCCCCTTCGAAACAAAAGAAGAAACTGCACACAGCTTAAGAGCCAGAGATGTAAGAGCGCCAGCCACTCTATGAAGTTTTGCCTGCACCGACTGGAAAAGAAGAAATGATTTTGAGCCTGTAGGCTCTTTGGGATGAATAGCCTTAAGGAGGAAGTAGTGGGGCATATTTGCTCAAAGCAAGAACCATGGAGCCACAGAAACATCTGTTGCTAGTGAATGGCACTGACACATTTTTTCTAGGCAATTGCCATGAAACAGACAACAGAACGACATCCATTGCTAGGTAGCAGGTTCTTAATAAGCAAGAATAGACAGCCACTGCTAGGGAATAGCTCAGTAAACGCATTGCTGCAGCAAGGGATATGCATGCAACAGAGGAACAGTGTTTTTTACGTGGTCTATGCCAAGATGTTATAAGCAAGGTACAAGGTTAGAGCTTGGTCAGTTAGTCTGTGAAGAGAAAACTTAGTTTGAGCAAGATTCACCGCTGGAAGGTAGCCACCATTAAGAGAGGACTTGAACCCGGGAGCAGAGAATTAGCCATGGTTAATGCCATTACCAAGAAAAGTTTAGTGAAGACACTGTGTGCTGGAAAAGACTTAGCATGCGCACTGATGATCTGAAAAGTGTGGAAATCAGCGATGGCACTGTCATTAAGCATAAAGTGGTCGATGAATCCAATATCCAATCCAAACCATGTCTGTAGTCACTCCTACAAATGGCAATATGTAATTTAAGAAACATTTGTGTAGATAAGTGCATTGATGCTCCAGCTTTGTCTCTCTCTTGCGCAGCTGTGCTGTTAATTTTCACCTTCATTCAGAAATGTCATCCCTTTGTTCTGTTATAAATCCTATCTTTGAAGACAGTCCTTTTGAAACTGGAACATGTATAATAAAGTGAAAACTTAGTCTTGAATTCCACAGTATTGGTATAATGAACATTTTCTGCAATATGTACCAATATTGCTGTATATTTCCTGATATAGATAGTATAAAATTGGTATTGTATGACAAAATTCAAAGTTCTATGTTATAAGTCCATACAAGTACCAGATGAGAAATGAAGTTATAACTGAGGTTGTGATACATGCTTTCTGGTCCAGTATATGCTACATGACAGGAATAGTGATGAGTAGGAAGCATTTGTGAAATGATTTGCAGGGGAAGATTGAAATACTGAGGGATAAGCCTGCCCCAGATTCCACACATCTTGGGCCTTTATGATGAGAAGCCAGTATATAACTGTCCTGAGATATAATGAGCAGAAGTAAAACCTTCATCAGAAACCAAAATCCTCCACTCCATACTGATAAGGAAATGTTAAAATTACAATATGTAAACTGAGTTCCACGGCATCATTATGCATTCGTCGCTCATGGAGCCGAGCCCTTCTTGAGAAGCCGCCAATTGTGCAGCTGCTCAAGAACTTTCCAGCATTTTATGGAACCCAGAGGTTCATTACCATGTCACAAGAGCCCTCCGCTGGTCCCTGTCCTGAGCCACATTGATCCAGACCATACCATTCCATCCTATCTGTAAGATCCATTTTAATATTGTCCACCCACTTACGCCTTGGTCTTTCTAGTGGTCTGTTTCCTTCTGGCTTTCCCACCAATATCCTAGATGCTTCTATCCTCTCCCCAATTCGTGCTACATGCCCCGTCGATCTCATCCTCCTTGATTTGATCATTCTAATTATACTTGGAGAAGAGTACAAGTTATGAAGCTCCTCATTATGCAGTTTTCTCCAACCTCCTGTCACTTCATCTCTCTTCGGTCCAAGTATCCTCCTCAGCGCCCTCAGTCTGTGTTCCTCCCTTAATGTCAAGAGACAAAGTTTAACACCCATACAGAACCACAGGCAAAATTATAGTTTTGTATATTCTAATTTTTGTGCTTTCGGACAGCAGACAAGAAGACAAGCATTACCAGCATTCAATCTCCTCTTGACCTTTAGCTGACGAATGTTATATATTGTAACGTGTTTCGTTACAGAATACGCCGTAGAGATCGTTAATTGGTTTATTCAACAACCTACAAGTAACGGCTACAATTAATTATTACACAGTTGCGGGGTTTCACACTTTATAACCCTAATCGCATTAATCTGTTAACACTGTTGCGGGGTTTCACGATTTATAACCCTATGCGCAAATCAGGTCACTCTGTGTTCAGTGGTCTACACGTTGACAGTAGGGGAGCTAGGTATCACTGTATCACACGCTCCCAATTACACAATCACACACACGTCCGGATCTTCTTTCCGCGACGGCTGCTATACTCCAACAGTAGTCGGCTGACTGGAGAACTGTTGATAACACACTCGGCGACTGTCACAGTACAAGTCGACTCGGCGACTGTTGCGTTACAACTCGGAACTGTCTTCGGCGATGGCCAGGCTACAACTAACTGGTAGCTGCTGTGCAGTTTCCTTATATAGCCGCAGTGGTGCCTGTTGCGTTCCACCTCACAGTAGGAAGTTGATTACGGGTACGTAGCGTTGCGCGTTACGTCACCGCGGAGGGGTGGGAGGGAGCGCTACGTTACCGCCACGCGCCTGTGGCCTGAGTTGCCACGTTGCTGCTGGGTAGGGAGGGGTTCCCCGTTGCGCAGCATGTTACAATATATATACAGGGTGTCCCAGGAGGAATGTGCCAAACTTCGGGAGGGTGTTCCTTATGTTAAAGTATGCCGATATAACCCAAAACACCTATGTCCAAAGTTGAACGGTTACGGAGATAATGGCCCAAGAAAAGTGTGGTCTTCTGGCAGGTCCAAGCACTGTACCTCGCTGTACCTCTCAGCTGAGAGCCCTTATCTATGTTTGTCCTTGAGTGCGATGATACTCCCTAGCCGTGCTTATGTAGTTGGCTCATACCAGAACGCGCAGTCAGCACGTTACGTCATCGCTCGCCAGTCATGTGTTATGTATACTGCTTGGAAACCTAAGGACAATTATGACATGGCGAGCGAGTATTTTGTACTTCAATTTTATGGCTTTCCGTCACTCACAAGTTGGTTTGATGTTACGTACATTATTAACATTACAGAATCCACATATTCCTGCCAGTTTTAATATGTATTTTGTAATCAACAAGTGTGTAACCCCGGTCAAAGTTTGACACTTCTCGGGCCATTATCTCCGTAACCGTTCAACTTTGGACATAGGTGTTTTGGGTTATATCGGCATACTTTAACATAAGGAACACCCTCCCGAAGTTTGGCACATTCCTCCTGGGACACCCTGTATATGCAGGAAGCAACACCCTGTAATGAGGCAGGACAAGTGCTCTCTTTGGGAGTGCTGACAGTTTGATCTTGGGTTTGAAACCAAAACAAACCCAGTCATGGTCATGTCAGTGGTTCATTCCTTAGCTCTGAACAATGAAATCGTTTATCATGGTAGGGTTTTCAATACTGTTTATGTTTAGATATGACTGTTAATGACCTGGTTAGCCAAATAGAGGCCAGCTTTGTTCTGAGAACTGAGGACTAAATATTCATCTGTGCTCGCTTAGTGCTTCTAGAGCTTTCAAGGAAGTGTGAAGATTCAGGGATTGGTTTTCAGTAGTGAATTATCAGTTAGGAAGTCAGTATCAGACTCGTATATTTCTTTATATATCATTTTTATTTTGTGTCTTGGAAGAGGTATAAACCTACTGAGCCAGTATAACTTTGTGAGTAAAAGGCATCTTCCCCACTGTGACTTTAGGTATCAGTGTTGGACTGGCACTCGTTTCGACTAGTATTATAATTACTTTGCATCACTATTTTGCGAGTATTACTAACAGGTGAGTGTCGCTTTGTCAGTTGACATAATTTATTCAATTTTGCTGGAACCCCCCCCCCAAGATGATTCTTCAGTCACACACAAGGTGAATATCACATTCACTGGCATTTCTTGGGGAAGGCCAAGGTTATCTGGGGCCCATCTGAGTCAACTGGAGGTGAAACATTCACAACACTGGCCAACCAAAGGGAAACAAAGATGTGTGTTTTGCTAAATAAGAAAAGCAGGAGTACCATTTTCTGTTGCAAAAAGTGTGATGTTGCGCTGTGTGTCGCAGACTGCTTTGAGAAGTGGCACGCGCGTCAGAGTGTGAGATATCGTAAACTGTGAAGTGATGCAGTTCAAACTCATGGACAGTCTGAACAGAATATTATTGTATATAGTGTGATTATATTTACAGTATCACCAAGTCTCAAGGTAAACTACAGATTTCATAACATAATAAAGATTATATTTTGCATTTCATGACAAAATATTCACAGTTAATTTTCGTTTGTAAAAATTGCTCTTTTGTGTATATATGTAGAAAATTTTATTGTCTCTCAGATTGTCTTTAGTTCGTATTTCTATGTTGCATAGAACGGAAAATATGTAGTTTTTTCTGAAAGTTTGCAATGTTATAGAATTAGGGCGATTTAAATTGCAGCCACAGAGAGCTGCCAGCAATTTAAAAGTCCATACGTTGAAGGTTAATTACCTCCTGAATTAGGTTTTGAATTGTCAGTCGTTCCTAAATATTTGAACAGTGCCACATTTTCAAAACATCTGTTACCTGTCATTATTGACAGGTTAATTAATAATTGACATTATTAATAGATTTGTATAAGTACACAACTTAATTGAATCCTATTATGTAATCATTTTGAAAGGATAATTTCTGAGCGACTAGAGATGCAGTGTTTGACCAATGTAATTGCAGAGTGAATGGGGTGGGATTATGGTTTTCCCAAAATTAGACATGAAAGCAGAATCTCCATTTCACTGTTACATTTTTTCCCAGGATTTTGCATTCCTTTGCTAAACAGTAACAAAACACAAGAATGAGAGTGGAACTATATGTTGTAGAAACTGTACCTTGTATTTTGCCTTTAATTTAAAGAACCGGTTTCCAATGTTATGATTACAGTTTGCTGCTCAACAGACCAAGACAGCAGCATCCATTAGATAACCCACAGTTGATTGTGTTTATACTGGGTGGCATCACTGCGCAAGAAGTTAAATTAGTTCAGGACATGGTGATTAGCTCTGGACAACAAACACAAGTTCTAGTTGGTGGTACACGCCTTCTTTCACCAAATGATACTGTGGAAGCCATCTTTTTTAAAGATCCACTTATGCAACAAGCATTGTAAGAATGGTGCTCTGTTAGTATTATCATATTGTTATGTTGCAGAGTGTGGAATAAATGAAAAAGGAAAAAGTGTATTTCTGAAAATGTGTTTAAATTACAATTTTCATACTGATATATCTTAATGAGGTTCTCATGGCAGTGAAAATTAAGATTGTGATCTTTTGGATTATACCATCATGTAGTTTTGTAGTTTGTTACCAGTGTTTCAGAGGGACCTGCTTCCTCTATCTTCAGGATATAAGTTTCTGCCCTACCCAGAAGATTGAGGCAGCAAACTCCTTAGAAATGTAGGTAACCATCTTTGAAAACTACCCATTGTCATAACCAAGGCCTGGATTTTGATGACCTGAAAATATTTAAAAAATGACCTATAAAATTACCAAAAAATTCAGAAAAATGACCTAAAATATGACCCAGAAATGTAATATGTAGGGCCCGGATTTTGATGACCTGAAAATATTCAAAAAATGACCTAAAAGAGAGAAGAAAGAAAGAACACTTCGCTTCCATGTTATTCACATTTCAGAAAATATATGAAGAAAAATTCCCTAAAATGGCGAAAAATGACAAGAAATACCCGTAAAAGTAAAAAAAAAAATACCCCCCAAAAAAACAAAAAAATTACCTATAAAATTTACATTTCTGTAACCAGTAGCTCATATCCGAGATTTATATATTTAAGAGCATCGCATAGGATACAAGGAAAAAAAGGTGACTGTTCCCCCTTCCCCTACCTAAGTGAGACCCCGCTAAACGTTCTGAGTCTGATTCTCATCTCTGCCACTTGAACCAGCACCTCACCACCAGCATCCCTTCTTTCTTTCATAAAAATTGTAAACGAATTCCATAAGTTTACTGGCACCTAACCCTTTACTAATTATCTGACAACCAGAAGAGGGGGTGGTAAGGAGGATGGGTGAGAAAGAGTCAAGCAAGCAGCAGCTGCCAGCAATAGTTAGACATGGCGTCCACAACACAACGGTGGATAGAAAGGTGAGACAGCTTGCTTTAACAGCATATGGAAATTGGTTTACTCTTAGGTTATATAACCAGTATTATTGTATTAGATATTCTGTTACATAAAGTAAATGTTTTATTTATGCTTAAAAATAGTATATTCTGTAAAACAAGGAAGCTTATGCGATCACCTTATTGTCTGTGCATCACCTGAAAGCATGAACAGTGGAGCCAGAAGAGGCAGTCATTACAATGCCATATAAACATATGTGATATCATGCTTGGAAGCCAGAACAGGGCAGAGAAGCACTGTGGAGATGGTGATTGCAGTCAGTGCCTTGGTAATTAGGCCTTCCAGCTCAGTTTCTGTGCATTCTGACTGCTAGCCACAGCCCCGAGCAGAGAATTTTCTTCTGTACATCAGGTTGGACCACAAAGAAAACACCATCTCCAACAGTTCTGTTTTTTTTATAGAGTACATCCCATCGCGTGATCAAACTAATCGCCATGTTTCATCTATGCAAGAGTGGCTTATTATTCACAAGTATCATGAATGCTAATGAGCACCAAGCTAACACACGGAAGAAGGGACTACAACCTTATAGCACTTTTGACTCACGCCACTCTTTACCTCATTTTACTTCAATATTACAGGCTCAATTTTACCTACTCTACATTACAATGTAGCAATTCTATACTTATATAACTTTATGATTCATATCAATGAGTCCAGCACAGATAGTAGACAGAAACAATTGTAAATATGGCTCATATGTTAGTTAAAATGGCTGCAATTCAAAAACACTTGCAAGTATTGTATCACCTAATGATGACCAATTGGATGCTTGAAACATGTAGTGATTATTAATAAACAGTTGAATGGGTATATATTCTTAGAGTTGCACAGATGTAACACAGCAATCAGATTAGTTCTTCTGTCATTAAACTACTTTCCCTATGTGTCTGTATGTGTATCCCCCCCTATCACTGCTGGGTAACAGCTTGGTGAATAAATTCCTGCAGCAATGAATACATGACGATAGAAGAATTGTTGAATATATCATTTCCTGTGTGGTCTGCATTGTATCGAAGAGAAGTGGGCAGTTAGTTCTTCCCAGAACTTCTTATTTTAAGCAGTATAATGCTCCAGAAATAAAACTACCAGATGTCTGTGACACATTGATTTTCATATACAAAGATGGTATTGGAGATGAGATATTATGATTATAGTGAAGACCATTATCATTTTAATTCTTGAACAATATGCCATGCCTAGAAAGAAGTTGTACCTCTGTTATGAACTATCACTGCCATCATCATCTGGAGTTCATGTGATGAATATTACAGCTATCCATTGTATATATATAAATACACAGCAACCCATGATAATGGAAGCAGGTCTCTACAACATTCAATTATAAACATTTCCACATAGTTGATTGCCTTAGAAGACTTCACTGCATCTAATGCAATGCTAATATTACCTTCTGTACCTTATCAGTGTCAGAGTACATACATGATTAGAATCTCTGGTACTTGGATTTACATTTTTATGCGTGTTACAGATAAATTTTCATATAAAGCAGAAATGAAGGCAAAATTTATAATCCTAATATTCTATTATATGTTCATGAAATTGTTCATCACTGTAAGGTAACATACTTGTTTTAAAATTAGCTTTATTTAACCCACAGAAGACCTTCTTTTGAAATTGTGTATTGGTGGACATGTTTAGTGGCTGTTGTGCTTACTTCTGCAAAAAACAAATCTTCAGTTTCCTTGCCTTCCACTCTGTTCAAATGGATCTTGTATGTAATATTGCCTAGCCCAGGTGTGGCAGTAGTGTCTTCTGTAAAACTAACCTTAGACTGAAAATGAGTCTGTTTTGTATATATTATTATAACTTTGTACTCTTCAACACAAGCCTGAAGAGCTTTTAAAGTCTTCTTTAGATATGAATTCATCTTAAGGATACCACCAGCAGCAGCAGCATCTTGCCAGTAATATGCAGTTATGCTGTCAATGATTATTAAACTTGTGTTTGCATTACTAGATAAGATATTTTCAAGAGAGTGGAACGTGACAAATAAGTGCAGACTGTCATAACAATTTAGGATTATTAAATTTGACAGAGACTCTTTAATAATCTTCTCTATTGTACTAGAGTCAATGTGCTTTTGGTATTGAATTTCACTGTTACTGGATTCTCTGCAATTCATCAATAAAGATTCCATTGTACCAACTAACTTTAGTATTTGAAAGTGATGATCTGTGTTTATAATAATTGCTCCTGCACCAAGACCACCAATTTCAAATTCATTCCAAGTCTTTGGTAATAAACATTTCACCAGAAACTGAGTTATAAGAGTAGTCTTGCCACTTCCTGAATTCCCGCTTATCTCAGTTACATTTCCCAAGTTTAAACCATCAGGAAAAAGCGTCTCGTTTAAACTAGTCAAACTCGGTCTTGAACTTAATCTTGCTAACAGTTGCACTCCAGTTTCTGCTTTACAGTGGTAGTCCATTTTACGATTTTAACTTCTCTGGGAAAATACACAAAAGTCTATGAAATTATTCGACTGTCTTTTGTATCACTGTAGCGTGTAAAACACACTCCCGTATATTCGAGCGTGAAATTCACTTAAGAACTGACCCAAACCAATGGCACTTTTATTGCAATTAAATATTTGCCGCCTTCATCTTTAAACTGTTTTTACAAGGTTGGAACTAAAACATGGCGTCCCAGACGTGTAAAGCACAAAAAGTACTGCATATCTCAAATTTCCCACGTAATCACACCATGTGTATATCACCGACCTCTGGAGCCACATGATACTCGATGATATGGGATGATCTGTGTGTGTGTGTGTGTGTGTGTGTTATTTTCTGCGTGTGCTGTCAATGTTATTGCACCAAGATGTGTCTTTTTCGCTTGTTACACCAAATCACCAAATTAAGAACAGATAAGGGCGGCGCCTGTGGAAGAGAGCGATGTCTGAGCACAGTGAGCTGGGACTAGCGCCTCCGCGAAGTAACGCACAAAAATAATACATGATTTTTTACCTGTTACATTGAAGACTAACCATGTACGTTTGTGGGTACCTAGCATTTCACATATGTTGCAGAGGGAATTTTCGTATGGTGCGCAGAAAGTCCTAGGCATCCTAGGGTGGTATAATTCGGAACCTTGGGAACACTAAATCAGGGGTACCAAATGCGTAAATCATAGGTAGTTTTGTGGTATAGTGGAATGTCGTGTAGATCATGTAGAAGTTAAAATCCATATTTTGTGGTAGAGTACGGTCTTTTTGTTGCAACGTTGTGTATTTCGGAGAGATACCGACGTTTCGAAGGAAGCTATCGCTTTCACCTTCAGGGTAGAAGAGTAAGCTAAACAAGAAATCATAAATTTGATTTGTTTCATTCTGGTCCGTCACACTATTAGGTTTACAATGAAGTTTATTTCAGTCCAGTGTGACATATAATGCTTTCAGCAGTTAGTTACCTAACATGTTTCGATTCTTAATGAATCATCATCCGAGGTATACTACTGCGATCAGGAACCCACCAATACGTAAAAGTTTTTATAAGACTGTCTACACTTAAAACATTCATGATGCTCACTATATGTAGTTGTTCATTTTTCCATTGTCGAAATAGATGTTTGATGTAAACTTTTATAATATGAACATTCTTGAAGTATATTACTTATAAGTGACGTAGTTGCAACCACTTTCATAAAGGATAGTTTAAAAATGTAATTTTCCACTGCACTGTATATAAAATTCAATTTGTTTCACCACAGCAGCCTTCCTTTACGTTAAAATTATGTTATGAATGTGTTTGAAAACTTATTTTTAAGTTAAGAAATTTGTTTGTGAACCAGTATGGATCGTGTTTTATCTTCCTTGGTGGTGGAATTGTCATCTGTCCCTTTTGGTGATGTGTTCTTGTTATTACTGGTGTAGTTTATATGTGTGCTGTGTTGCTTATACAAGCAATATGTTCTGCAATATTAATATAGTTTTAAAGTGTAGTGTGATAATAAGTATGTGTGATTATGTACTTTTCTAGATTCTTTGTTTTCTGGATGCCCAGGATTTAAATCTTGGCCCACACACAGGCTTTCCTGACTGAAGGTTGTTATGGTTTTCATCATTCCTTCCAGTCAGGTGCTGGGATATTACCTTAAATTAGGCATAACCACTTCCACAGCCTTTCCAAGTCATTTTTTCCAAGATCAACCTATGATCCCGTACTGAATAAACAGATTAGCAGTGCAACTGATTTATGGTCAGCCTGAAACAAATTTTAAAATTTTGTTGATATGTTGGGATTTTGGACTTTATCCATCGTCCAGGACAATGGATAAAGTCCAAAATCCCAACATATCAGTGTGTTATACACCATCGTCAGAATCCTATAGTAACTACTTAAAATTTTGTGTATGTTATAATTTCTTACAGAAAACGCTTTGCTGATAAGCAGGAATGGAAGAGCTCACTCTTATTCCTACAAGGTATTCAACACTTCAGAATGTAGAAGCTAGTAATATCCAAATAGTTGTCCATAAAAATAAAAAGAAGGATGTTAATATAAAACCTCTTCACATTGACCAATTGAAAGATAACAGAGCAGAGAAAAAAGAAATGGACATGAAGAAGGTTCGTTATGAAGTTTTTAAATTTGGAATGTCAGGCTTTAAAGCAGAAAAGAAGGAAGAAGTTAAAGTAGCTCTAGCCATCAAATTAGGAGCTAAACCACCTAAACACAAATATTACAATTATAAAGAATATAAGTGTATAAAAGAGAAGCAGCTAAAAGAACAGTCAGAACAGCGGAAGTTGCTTGCCGTTGGGAAGACTAAGACTGGGAAGCCAAGTACCAAAGGCAAGAAAAAAATTATGAGAAGGAAGAGGGATAAACATAAGGATGGAATTTTAGACCCATATGGAAAACCAGGAGAGGTAATTTGTAGCATTCCTTTATATGTACCTTTTTGGTTTACATTATTAACATTCATTCCTGCACATTATCCATCATCCTGAAGAAAGCAGTCTTCTGGGATTTGGCACCGTGTATATGTGGTGTTAACCGACGTTTCGGAGGAACGTATCTTCTACCCTGAAGATGGAGGCGATACGTTCCTCTGAAACGTCGGTTAACACTACATATACACGGTGCCAAATCCCAGAAGACTGCTTTCTTCATAGTCACCGCCGTGAAAGCCTCAAATCTTACATATCCATCATCCTGTTTTTATCTAAAACTGGGCAGTGAATGATGTCCAGAAACATAATATTTGTATACTGAAGTAATGAAACTTTTTTTTTTATTATGACAGGCTTGTGAATATGCAGAGAGTTTCTTGACTTTGTTGACTGGTTCATGGCTCTGCACTTTGTGGCATCCGGTGCACTGCTTGCCATGAGGCAGATATGAATGTTGCCTATGAATCAGTGTACCTGATGGCTGGTAACGTTCAAGAATGAAGGGTAGTAATTAACTTGTGGACTGCTTGACAGCATTATGTTTCATGATGAGCAGTGTGGTTCATGTGTGAGAGTTTATTTATGATTTGTCAGCAGTTATTGGCTCCATTATCTATTTGTTCTCAGTTACAGTTAGTGAGCAGTGTGTTACATCCTGGTGCGGTATACTTAGAGAAACATGTATTTCTGTATGACACCTATGTGAATTACAGATCTGTTAGAAAGTGTCAATTAAAATTTTGATGTAAATTTTATGATAAAAGAGTTCCCAGCAGACAGACAATTCACAATTTGATGAACAAACTTAGAACAATAGGACTCTTAGTACACAAGAAACAAACACATTAAGCGCTGAGTGCTTACTGAAGAGAAGTTAGATGACATGGGCTAGACTTGAGCATACATCTAGAAATCACTGAAATGTTCAGCTTAAGAGACTGGAATGTCAAAGTCTAGTGCAAGAACAGCAACATAATTGCTGAAGCTTAGACCCTATAAAACAACAGTAAACCACGCAAGCCTTGCAGCTGCACAATCCAGCTAGCAGAGTTCATTTTTGCAGTTGGTTTGTACAGTCTGTCGTAGAAGGTGAAATTGATCTGCGGTTGACTTTATTTTCTGGGGAAGAGTGGTTTCACTTTCATGGATACATAAATATGCAACATAATTGTCCCTGGAGTTCATAGAATGCACACCTAACCCACGAAGTCCTGCACCATTCTGTTGGCTTATGGTGTGCTGTAAGTGCATGAAGGATTGTTGTACCTGTGTTTTTTAACAAAACAATTAATTTAAAAAAATCTGTGTAAAGGGACATCATTTTCAGCATCTCCTATGATCTCTGAATTCTAACTACTTCATCCCAAATGTCACTAGTCATCAAGCATGCTGATTCATTAGCAAAATTTGTATGCACTTCACAGCAAGCAGCGCCTCAGTCACCATGAAGCGCAGTGTCATGAAACTGGTCAACAGAGTAAAAATCCTCCCTGTATATTTGTATTGACTAATTTTATATTATTTACAGCCGTGGCACTGCATATTGATTGCTTGATGAATTGATTTCCAGGCAGTAAAGCAGTGATTAACATACATAATTTTTGCATTGTAAATGGTTGTGATTGCTTAGCAACTAGGCCAGAAAAGGAGAGAAGTGGATAATACCGTAGGATAGATTGTTATATACAGTGCGTACAATCAAGTGCGCGCCGCGGCTGCAATTTGCCGTGAGTCATACCACCGCAGAACAGGTGCAGTCGCGGGGAGGAGTTGCAGCTNCTGTTTAAGGAGCTGGTAATTTTTTGATAGAATTTTGAAAAAATAGATGCTTCTTTATTGATTTAGATTAGCAGGCAGAAGCCTTATTCTTCCTTTCACTTTGATTTAGACTAAAAGTTTCAAGAGCAGTATGCAGTCAGTATATGTAAAATAAATGTATTCATTATTGCTCTCTCAGAGTGGTGTGGATGAAGTGTCTTGATGCATACATATGAAAGATTGCATTTCTTTCACTAATGAAAACGATTTATTTGATGTGCTGACAGTCATATTGATTGTTATGGTTGAGTAAGCTCTAAAACCCATCACTAAATGTTAAAAAACATGAAAATGCTATAATTAACCTATTTTAGATCTGAATGTTAACACCTAAATGATTTGGTGTGCAAAATATCCAAGATTCAGTTTCTGTCAGAACCACCAGTTTTCTTGAGTTTTAGAGTTAGTGTTTACTGGAATTTAAGGTGACTCAAAATCCAAGGAGGTCCAACTAGATCACAGAGTTGAATATAAAGAAAAAAAAAAAGTGTGAAACTCATATGAATTACTAGGGCTAACATGCAGTCTTGTAGTCAAAGGTGCATTTACCATGGTTTCAATTTCAGTAGCTGACTTGACACTTCACTGTCAATACCTGGACCTGAGATCTACCTGTGCCAGACACAAGGGACAGGATGAGTCATATGCACATCTGAAGCAGTGATTTCTTTTTGTATGAAATTATTATTTTTCCCCTCTTCCTTTGTTATCAACAAATCTCTTTTGTTGTATACTTTGCAGGTCATAACTCGTTTCAAATTAATTACCATAAAAGGTTTTGTTGCAAATTAGTGATGAGATATATTTCGTATATCATCATTCCAGTGGTCACGTTTTATATTACACATTGTTGTCATTCCCTCTGTGGTCTAGTGGTGACAGTTCTTGACTACAGATCCAGAGGTCTGGGTTCGATTCCCAGCACTATCAGATTTTCTGAGAAGTAGTAGGTCTGGATCAGGGCCCACACAGTCTCTTGAAGGTAATTGATGAACTACCTGAATGGAAAAGTAGCAGCTCTGGTCTAGAAATCTGAAATTAACAGGTATTGGGATTTGTTGGTGCTGACCACGGAACACCCTCTATCCACTGAAGTTGGCAGTAACTTCGCTGACAGGCAGCGGCCGCTTGGGTGGTATAGTTTACTTGCAGACTAAAGCCACAGAGTTTGTTTTTAGTGTTATCAGTCACAGCTATACAGTTGGGTTGGCTGTGTAATATTTGCATACAAAATAAGAAAGCTGTTCAGCGGCACTGCCTTTGTAGATGACAAATACAGGCCTGGATGTACAGATGAATTCCACAATTCAGACTCTGCTTGGAATATTTTTATCTTTCATTTTTAAAAACTCCATCCGTGTACCTTTTGTGGTGGAATAACTGAACCATAATTAAAGTGACTTCACCAACAGCAGAATTATGTTTGTACATAATCTAAAAAATGATTAAAACTTGTTACTTCTCTGAGTTTAGACATTAAAGAAAGGTTGGATTATTTTGCCAGAAACATTTCTAGCCCAAATACAAACTTTCGTAGGAACAAGTGCTTATGGAATGAAAGCCATTGTCAGTAGTATGTTGTAACAGCAGAAACATAACGATAGTCTGTTACAGAATTAAAGAGGATCGTTATCTTGCAAAAATTCCTTCATGATATAGGGGTAGACACATTTATTTGGTTGATTGTTTTATCTGCCGCTTTATAAGTCATCTTCATTGTTGTTTGAGGATTTCACTGGCCCATATACAGCCTGTTTATCATAACTTTCAACTCAGTTACTTAACATTGATTCATTTTGTAGTTTACACACTGTTAGTCAGACCACTGTACAGTTTAACAGTGTTTAATTGTATTTAATTTTTTAACCTTGTTTGGTAAAAGGTGTTTTTACCTTGACTTTTATCCAGACACAGGTAGCTGTAGATGTCATGCTTTTAAACCCATTTACTCCTACCACATGACAGCATTCAAAATTAATCTTGTATTGTATAATATTTCCTCTCTGATAGAATACACAGATGCTTATAGTATAGTGTGAAGATTGTGATAGGGTGCATGTGGCACTGTTCATTACCATCATTTGCTGAAAATTTATACATATTATTTGTTTCAGGTTCTCACCTCAAGGAAAGTAAGGAAGTGATAGTAAAGAATGGTAAAATCACGTAAAATGTCTATTTTCATTTATATCTGTAACTTCAAATGTATATTTCATGTATGTATATTTTATAATAAAAAGGACTTAGGTTGTAAAATGTTGTATAAAACTGGAAGTCCTGTGATGAACTGAGTGCATATGAGAGAACTGAACTGTGCCAAGTCAAGCCAAGTAGCATTTCAGAACTCTAATTGCAGCATATATTTACCAAGATACATTTTGGAAATACTGACAGAATTATGTAGTTGGAATGCACTGGCATATGACTTGAGTACTTCATAACCCCCCTTCATTATTCTACAACTGTTCCATATCCTTCAGCATGACAGAATTGCCACGATTATTATTATTAACTTGAATTTCAAGTGGACCCACAACTCTGCACTGGGTCTTGGAGAAATGAGTCTATAGTAAATGAAATAATTCTCACAAAATTAAACACTATATGCTTTAGTCAATGCTTGTTGTAACCACAACATTAAATCTTTATTAGTATATTTTAACAAATGAACTTCCAGAAACATACTCATTTGCTCTTATATTTTGGTCACAATCACAAGTATAGTGATATATGAAATAGTATATTGACATCACATTAAACTCGCAGTATTTTTCCAGGATATAACAGTTGCCAACAAGAGGTTTCAAACTATGTCATATTCATTTTTATCATGTTTTCCCTATTTTGGGAAAATGTGGTTCTATACATCCACTCCCCCATATGTCTTCATGGCATAATGCTTAATTCTTTTAGCATGGAAAAGTTTTTTCCCCTCTTTTGAAAAAATAAAAGTAGGCATATGAGATCACCTTGCTACATGTGTATCACTTTACATCAACTTCAGAATGCCTGAACCAATCTACATGAAGCTTGGGACAGATATCATGGAACCTGATCCCATCTCAGTGGTGTAATTCGTAAATCCCTCCCATCAGTAATACCAACTTTACAACTTCTCAAATAGTGAGATGGTTATTGCTAGGCAGTGGTATTGTAAACATGTTTCTGCAGTGATAGAGGATACATTGTTTTCTGTGTGGTCCTTGCCAAGGCTATATAGTGAGAACCAGCAGCAACAGACCAGTCAGAAAGTTGCAATGAGCCATGCTGTTGAGATGTGTGAGCACTGGAACATAAACATCAATGAAGATAAAAGACTCAGGCCATCTACTTTTCTCATAGACTTAAGCCCCCTGAGGCTCATCTTTACTGAATGGAAGGAATATCCCCTTTATCAGTCATGTAAAATATCTCTGTGTAATCTTTGATAAGAGGATTACATGGAGACTGCAGACAGAAATTACTTAAGCCAAGGTCTTCTGAAAATTTATTAGAAATTACTCCATATTCAAAATTGAGTTTTTAAGTGCCACCATAAAATTCTCCATAGAGCACTGGTTAGATCAGTAATGACTTATGCTTTCCCTGCCTGGGAATTAGCAGCGAACACCTACCTCATAAGTTTGCAATGCCTGCAAAACAAGGTTCTCTGCACCACTGGAAATTCCTAGGTGTGCACTGGTCCACGATTTGCACATGGGTTTCAACCTTCCCACACATCCAGTTGTGTAACAAAATTGTGCAGGCAACAAGCAGAAGTCATACAAATAAGGAGAATGAATATGTTCGTGGCATAGGATAAGGGGAAGCCAAACATAGAAAATATAAGAGGCTTAAACTTGGCAATGATCAAACTGGTGAATGTCCCACTACTCAACTAAGCTCAAAGTTAAAGTCACATTGATACTGACGGTCAGTCAGTCAGTAAGTCTTGGTGTTGAGGCCCAGCTGGGCTCATGACCAGATATTTATTACTGTTTGACAGTTACGGTCTTGTTTTTGTGGAGTGCCCTCTCTAACGAGAGGATGGGTCTGTCTTTTGCATATGCTGCTGAGCCTTGCCAGCATAGTGTTTCTTGGGTCCGAGTCCCTTGGGACTCGCAACCACATTTTACTCTCTCAGATCTGAGACTTCCCTTTTCGTAGCCTCCTATGATTCTCAGGGTCATGGTGGAGGTATTTGAAGCCCCCAAACTCTGTTCCCCTTTTAAAATCTTGGCATGGATCAACAGAAAACAGCATTTCTATTGTTACATGCGTGTATGTTGTGGGCATTACATAGCAACGGCCGCTGTTTACAGTTAGCTTAGCAATGGGTCTATACCCCACATTAATATTACATTTAAAATTCTTTTCTTCAGTTTTAAATAAAAATTTAAGTGACAGGGTACATGTACTGTTTTTTCCAAATGCAATCTATGTCACCTTATTAGGCTTGTTTGATGAAAATCCTACTTACCAGCAATGTACATTATTTTTATAGGCAGATTTTTTTTTACTGCTAGTGGGGTGGGACTAAGTCCCTTGTACTGCGGCCACTACTGGCCTATTGTACCAGCCCCAGATGATAGGTGAGGGTGATTGTGGAGCAATTGGTGGAATGAAGATTGACAGGGGTAACGGAAGTACTCTGAGAAAACCCGCACCGACTCCACTTTGTAAACCACAAATCCCACTTGACCAGACCCGGGATCGAACCCGGGCCGCCGAGGTAGGAAGCCAGCGACTAACCGCTTGAGCTATGGCGCGGCCTTATAGGCAGATTTATATAAACCGTTGACCGGTGGTATAATAGAATATATTTTTACCGACCGTGCTCTCAGAATTGGCGGCGGCCATTTTGTAGCAATAGACTTGCAGCTGAATATAGAGGGAGCAGTGATGCTATGAGTACGTGAGCGTCGCCATCAGTCTGCGCACACGACGAAAAGGAAGACTGGTGAACGTTATTGTGGTTATTAGCGTTATTAGTGTTTTATAGTGGGTTGGCAAGAAAGGAATGGATCAGCAGGCGAAAAGATAAATAAGTGAATCAGGTGGTAGAAGCATACGTGCATCATTACAACGAAATTCCGAAACCACTTCAAAATATGATTGACATTAATATTTAAGGTGGCAGATGTACGGTACCCATCCTAGCCAGTTACTCTCCGTGCTCTCGGATAGAAACGAAAGAAATTGGTAAATCCATATGTGTGAATTTTGCCGAGGTAGCATCGCTGTTGAAACATGGGAGGGTTGTGAAGTTGTGAATTTGTCTTTTCATCATCACTACCGAACACCTCTAGCTTACGTCTTAAATACATAAGGCGTTTTCCCCGATTGCTAAGTAGGCCGTGACATGGAGCACACCGCTTAACCCTGCAAGACTTGTGTTAGAGTTGGTGTTACAAGCCGTTGAAGTCTGGTGTTGAGGCAAAGTTTGAAATTTAAGATCTTGTACACGTAAAGCTTTTAATGTTACAGATTTAGGCAAGCATTTTTCACTTGAACATAATCTATAATACTGAGTGTCATTTTATCGATCTAGTGAAATTCATTTTTGATTCTTTCATAATTCGAGGTTATGATGCACTCATGTTGAACCTTGAAATTTTCATGAGCTCAAGTTGTAGCCACTTGTACATTTATTCTCGTCTGATTTTCATGCAGGTGCATTTATTTTGCAGGAATGCTTGCAGTTGAAGGATTACACATCTTAATTCAATAAAAATGAGGACAGTGTTTGTTAATGATAAACAGTGACATTATACACTGTCAGCTGTATTGCTGTGCTTAATCCATCTGACCAAAAGGTATTTTTAAATGGAAATGTGTGACTTAAGGAATCCCAACACCTGACTTCCATGTTACTGTGTGTATTTATTCTTGATTTATGTAATAACACTTCAAATAGGTGGTTATGGCCACATTTAACATAGCATACCAACATATGTTTGGAGAGACTGAGTTAAACCATTAAAACCAAATTACATATTTGACGAGAGTTTGTTAAATATGACACTTTTGACACAGTAGAGTGTGCAAACGTTTCACCACTTTATGTATAACATGATCGTTTTTATTCCCTTATATATTTGAATTTCAAGTATCTGGTCGTTTTAATGGAATTTTATATGGTTCAGGAAAGGAAGTGTAATATCTTCTAGTTTTTGTCTTGTAATACGGGTTGAAGTTGGACTGCTTTGGTGCTTAAGTTAAATATGGACATAGACAGGTTTAAGACGCAGCTTGTGTTAGACTTGAATGAAGAACCATAGTGATACTCTAGAAACATTTGTCAATCTGTAATTAATTTTAATAGGCAAGCTATATCCTATTTCACAAATGATGCTTAGGGAAGAAGCATATTGGAATGTGTGGACTACTTTTATGTCCATCAAAGTGAAGAGAAAAAGGATTCTGTGCATACTCTGTGTTTACAAAGTGACCAGTCCTTTGTGTATACTCATGTATATTCATGTGGGTGTCATGTCCATTCTGAGATCTGGAAACATGAATAAACTGAAAGTATACTGCTTCTCTGTACTCTTATATAGAAAAATTTGACCGGTTCCTAATTTTGAGCTAAATATGTAACAGGTACTTTGATGACAGTACTTAGAATCACTTATATGGTTCTGGGAGTCAGCTTTTAGGATAAAAACTAAATATCAAAGCAGCCCAATTTGTCTCGTTCTGTCTGATTATACACAATAATTCCTGCTCTCCTATTGCATGTTATTCTTCTTGTAGGTTATGAGTGACTCCTGGTCTCAGACTTTTTATATTGGCATTTCTAGAAATCTTTTTAATCTGTGTTTTAACTTACATCAGAGGAAAGAGCCTCAGTGATTTTTGTGATGGAGAACCAGTGAATTATTGTTTTTGCCAAGAATTAATATATGGTGAATGGTGAGTAAGCTGGACACTTTGCTGAGACTGGCTGGCAAATTTGCTAATGCTTTCATTCTCACATGCTGAGTGAGAATCATGCGACATGTATCATAAGAGAGTCCATGTTTTGACAGTTTCACAAATCTTAGCATGAAAGTGAACAAGTAGTTCCTGCATGCAGTCATTAAAGGAAGCAAACCAGTCAAATGTTTCAAATGGTTGAGAGTTGCATCCTCAAATACAGTTTTTAGTATTTTTTCTTTTTAATATCTTGTCATATATAGTAAATGTCCATGATATGTATGTAATGGCCGTCTTGTAGTGCACTCAATTTCACATGTCACTTCACTACATGTTTCAGCAAAATTGTGCCATTCTCAGGTGCTTTATTTACGCTAAGCTATTGCATTGCTTGCCATCATGTGTCTTTCATAAAATTATTAAAATGTACATTCTTCATCAACTATAATAAAATTTGTATACACTAAAACTTGTTAAGACACAGTATACAAAAAATATAAAAAAAAATATAGGAAAAACAACTCCTGTAGTGAAAGAACCATACAATATGTGAGTTTCAATTAAGACATATAAGATGAATAATCTTAACAAGTTTTAGTGTATACAAATTTTATTATAGTTGATGAAGAATGTACATTTTAATAATTTTATGAAAGACACATGATGGCAAGCAGTGCAGTAGCTTAGCGTAAATAAAGCACCTGAGGATGGCACAATTTTGCTGAAACATGTAGTGAAGTGACATGTGAAATTGAGTGCACTACAAGACGGCCATTACATACATATCATGGATGAGAATCAGTGCAACAGGATGCTAAGATACAACATAGTAAATGTCTCTGTTATGAATTCAGTTCTGGTGCTTTAGATTGGACATTATAGATTCAGTAAAGTGCAGAATTGACTGAGAATTTAAAATATTGTATTTAAACATATATTTCCTTCTCTCCTTTCTTCCCCTTCCCCTGTAGGTAACTGAAATTAATCACAATGGATGTCTTGAACAAACTCTGTTCTACTGTCAGTAGTACAGTATCACAGCTGTCGAGTGTTCTCCCAGGAAACCCAGTGACTCGAGAGTTTGAAGCCACTTGCCACATAGCTAGTGCTGGTCCAGGTAATCTTTTCATGCATATCCTTGTTAGCCTTTCAGTACAAGTGTTGTACATGTGCAGGCATGTTGTTGCATCAGATTTCCGATAAGAATTGTTAATTTTTTTGCTGCAAAAATTGTTACAGTTATACCAATTTTGTTTGAACAAAAGAAATTCACACACATGATGCATATGGGCTCAGCTATCTAGCTGCATGGAACGGAATCCTTTTTTGAGAAATTGATAGTTGCTAAGCTCAAGAAATCCCATGTGTTTTAAGGGACCTGAAGGTTTATTACCATGGTCACAAGAACCAGACACTGGATCCTATCCTGAACCATTTGAATCCAGTCCACACCATCATACCAGACTTTTTTAAACCCCAGTTTCATGTAATGCTCCCATCTATGCCCAGGTCTCTTAAATATTTGTTTCCTTTCTTCAGGTTTTCCTTCTAATAAGTTCCATGCATTTGTCATCTCCATATGAGCTGTATATCCTGCCCATCTCATCTTCCTTAATTTGATCACCCTGAAAATATTTGGAAGCGAGTAGAAATTGTGAAGCTGTTCGTTATGCAATTTCGTTTTTCTCCTTTGCAAAATTTGTTATAAAGTTCACAAAAGTATTACAAAGAATGGTTGTTTAACGCCACTGCACAGATGAAGGGTTGAATTGTATGCTGATACTGTTTGCCTCCCTCATGTATAACATAAAAATGTGGTTAACTGAGTCTGGCATAGGACCAGAACTCGGAATTTTGAGTGGTGGGCTTAGTCTAACAAGGACCAAAAAGGGTTAAGCAGAGAATTAAATGCCTCTGGAATTCTAAAATTATATGCCACATGTTGGCCATACATGGATGAGAATTGAAGGAGGAAAAGTCTGACATTCTATGTACATTTTTCACTATCATACTATTGCACACTTTTTGAAATAAGAGCTCACATTTAATGTTCCTAAGTTTAAGGTCTGTCATCATTTATGGTCCCAGATCAGTAATTTAACTGTTACCTTCGTTTAAGATTTTCCTCAGTGAAGTGTTCAAATCCACTACTGTCCAAAGAAATTTTAAATGGAAGTTTCACCGTACTTCTGTTATTGAGATTTGAAATTGAATTATTGTTAACGTGTTGATTCATATGTTACTCTTTTAACTGATTTTGACTTCAGAATTCATCATTCCAAATTCTGTATTACCAGCCAAAGGGCTGAAGATCTTTGAGATGACTCCAGAACACTGGTAATAAAAGACCATAACATGCCACTAGATCTAAGGCCTGGATGATGAATTCACTATTTTTAATGTGTTTTTCTCTCTTGAGCAGGATTGCTGTGGAAAATATACCAGGGCTATAAGAAATCTACTAAACAGGAAGCAGCTATCTTTGTCTTTGAAAAGCGGCAGCTAGAAAGATGGCCTCGTGGCGACAGAGAGGCTATGTTGGAAACACTGAGAAGAGGGGTCTCACAACTCACCAGACTAAGGCATCCTCAGATTCTAATTGTTCAACATCCATTGGAAGAATCTCGGTAAAACACTTGTTCACTTGATATGCTTAACACGATGCAAATTGTTTTCTTTATGTGAATAATTTTCTTTTTATTTAATGCAGGGAGAGTCTGGCATTTGCTACAGAGCCTGTATTTGCCAGCCTTGCTAATATCTTGGGCTCAACAGAGAATATGCCTTCTCCTCCTCCCACACACCTTAGAAATTACAAATTGTTTGAAGTAGAAATCAAATATGGTCTCCTGCAGGTAAGTAACTTTTTCTGTTATGTTTAATGCTGGAATAAAAAATGGTAGCCTGAAATGTTGCTACATTTACATTGAAAGTTTTGATTTTATGTTTTGGTTGTTTCTGTTGTCAGCACCATCAGTGACCCTTCACCTATTACCACCATCTCTTTACTGATCACCACCCATCATCACCCACCACCCATGAGCACTATCACCATAGATCCTTAACCCTTCAACACCTACCAACCTTCCCTTGACCCTTGACCACATTGCCATTGCTGTTTATTTATTTCACAGACGATGGTGGCAGTGGTGGTGGTGGTTAATTATACTTCGGTTAAGACTGAAACATGTCAGGAAGAAGCAAGAAAGGCAGAAACAGGCAGTGTTACTTTATCCCTTTATTATCTGTTTCAAATGCTACTGGCTATCTTGGTGCCACAAACACTCTTCCAATTATTCGTATTCTTTAATCCCACTTTGACTTTACCCTGTTTCTATTATTTTTTCTTCGTATGGTTCTTCCAGTTTTCTCTTGGCCTCTCTATTAGTCATGCCCCATTAATTTTCAGTTAAGATGTTGATACTGCTAATCTTTCATCATACCCTCTACATGTCTAAATCACTTTCTGACTACCTCGTATTTCTGTATTTCTTGCTGTGTCCCACTGAGTGTGGTTAGGACTCTACTTTTATTCAGAGATACCAGGTTCACATGTTATGCCAGACACTGGATGTACTTCCAGAGATTTATTAAGATTTTCCACACTTCTTCTGGGCAAATGGTGAATTGATATCTTAAAATAGGCCAGTACTTCCTTTCATATCCTTATGAATTCACCATTCACAGATCCCAGCTTTCAGTGCTACATAATCTCTGCAGTTGAAAATATGTCATTAAATAAATTGAGAACCAGTCTGGAATCTATCTGACCTTGTTTTTACCTCATTTTATATAGGAATTTTGTCCATTTGTAACTTGTAAATGGCTAACATTTTATCATTCTTTATCAGAGTTTTTGATCGTAACTGAAGATTGATTATAAGTATTCTTCAGTTAATCTTTTGTAATTTCTTGTTGGTCATTGCACACACACACACACACACACAGTGTGTGCCCTCTGTGACACTGTATTTTACTTCAGTATGTTTTATTTAGGTAGGGGAGGGACTAGCATTCCTTCACAGTGATGTGAAACTTTTACATCATAATATCTGTCCTGAAGTAATTGTGGTCAACCAGCAAGGTGCCTGGAAGATATTTGGCTTTGACTTCTGCATACACAACCATAACACACAAGACTCACAGGTAATTTTTTTTTACTGTTCTTCTCAAACACAGCTAATGAAGCCATGTTCATGAATCCAGTGCTGTCTCTTTATGCTGCAAAGCCCTTGTTTTCTAAATACTTCTCGAAATGTGGAATAAACAATTTCATATATTAAGAAGGAACCAACTTAGTGCTTGTGCTAGATGCTAGTCCGAATTACATACTGCCACCTTGCTGTATAGTTATGCATTCTGAATAAAAGGACATTTTCAGTGGAACCAATTCAGGGTTTATTTGTGAAGGACTTAGTTTTTTCCCTAATGATATTTGGTAAGACCAGTGAGAAGCTCATAAATTTTTTACCTTGTAGAAGGTTTCGTGTTGCTGTCTGGTTAGAAAACAGTAATAGTATGTGCATATGTTTTCTTGCACACATTTATGTTTCTTTGAATTATATACCGGATAGTGCTTCTTAAGTTGTAAAATAATGAAGAGAGCAATGCATTAAGGACCCATCATAATGCAGTCACTTTCAGAGCAAAACCTGTGCTGCATTATAATGTAGTATTGGAATGTGAATCTCAAGTCGCATTTTGTGTGGCAGAGTCACAGTATGGTGTAAATCTACTTCCAATTACATTATTGTTTGTTTTGAAATTTAAGTGATACTATAAACACTTCACTTTCTGAAAGGAAATTATCTGCCATGCAGAAGCCCAGAATGAGCTTGTTGCATAAATATAATTTAGTTTTTTAGTGCATTTTTGGAAATGTTATGCAGGTTTTCTGTAGAAAGACTTGTCAGTTTTGTGTAATTCGAAAATTTAAATTTGTGTCAAGCAGTTATGCTTCAAACTTATATTTTTGAGGTGCCTTGTTTGAATCCCAGCCACGATTCTGATTAGCCTGACTAAGATGTTCAGTGATTTTTCTCATTCCCATCAGTGATTGCTGAGATAATATCTTGAAACAAACCATTACTGCTTCCTTCCAAATCCTCTTAGATTCCATAAACAGGATCATTCTTTCATCTCATTTGGCGTTAAATAATGTAAGCAGTTGTTAAAGCATTGTTAAATAATCTGTGATTCTTCTAAGAAAGTTGACATGAAACCTATTTGAGTAATCATTTTGCAAAAAAAAAAAAATGCTTTTATGGGTGGGGGACATGAACATGGTTGGGGCACTGTGCTACAAGCCGGAAGTTGGCTGTTCAATTCCTGATGATATTGGATTTTTCAGTTGAGCTAATTATTCCAGCCACACTATAGACCTGGGATTGACTCAGCCTGTAACAGAAATGAGTACCAGGAATTTTCCTGGGGCTAAAGGGTGGCTGGCATGTAAAGCTGACAACCTCACTGTCATCTGCGAGCCAGTTGTCTAGAAAATATGGTAGCCTTGACGTCCTCTTACAGGGATAGCTTTACGTTACCTGTTCTTTTATACACCAGAGCTGATCTGTTGTTTCCTGTTCCTGTTTCATAATATTCACCAAGAAGCCAATTGCATGTAGTAACCCTTCTTACCCATAACATTGGCTTAATTAATTCTCATAGCTATTAGGATTGGCCAGTAGTTATTGCTCTAGAATTTTTTTAATTTGATACTTTGGTGCTAATTTGTATTTCTTGTTTTTGGAGCCATACTGGCCCTTTGTAGAATACAGCCCCACACTGCACCCAGTGGCACAGCCATCTCTTGATTACTTAGCTCCTGAGCATGCCCTTACTCTGAGCCACTCTCCAGCCAGTGACATGTTTTCCCTTGGAATGCTCATCTTGGCTCTGCACAATTCAGGTCAGCCTCTCAACAACAATAATGGTGACTGGAGCTCTTACAAAAGGAATGCTTGTGAGGTACGTGTGAAATGCATTGTCATAATGGGTGCAAAAGAAACTACTTAAGACACTTCTTTCATTTGCAAGCTGTAGGTAATGCAGGGTTTTTCTTATTTGTATAATAAATCCTTTATAAGTTATTTTGTCATTGACTTATTTACAAAGGTCAGAATTACAGAAGTTGTCCCATTCTTAGATGCACTTGCATTCTCAAGGACACATATTGAAATCACTCCATGTATACATCCATCCATATGCCTGAAAAAACTCAAGAATAGATAAACTGAGTTTGATTAAATTTGATATTGAAAATTTTATGGTCACTCCATTTCAGGTTCTCTTTGGATTGGTCATTTGGTGCATCATATATATATATATATTCCTGATTAATACATATGTAGGTAAGTCAATAAGTAAGTTACAAATAGATATTGAACTTAAACAAATAAGAGTACTGATTTGAAAAATGCTTTTATTTTTCAACATAATCTCTCTGTACATTGAGGCACTTGTGCCAATGTTTCACAAGCCCCTGAAAAACCAGCAGCATAAAATTCTTTGGGCTGCTGTCGGAACCAGACGGTGACTTCCCTTTCTACAGCTCCATCATCAGGAAAATGTTCAGCTGAAAGATGATGTTTAAGAGGACCGAACAAATGGAAGTCGCATGACAGGTTAGGTGTTCACAAAGTCTGTGCATGATGGTTGCCGCACATGCTGACCCCACAACACAAAATGCAAAGAATGGGTCTCGCATTACAGCATCTCAGTCACTACCATGATGAAGGACACAATATGCTAGCCAAAATTGTCACAGGTGATGAGTCTTGCTTCAAGTGTTTTCCATTTGTTCAGCCCTCTTAAACCTCATCTTTCGGCTGAACATTTTCCTGACGATGGTGCTGTATAAAGGGAAGTCACCGCCTGGTTCCGACAGCAGCTCAAAGATTTTTATGCTGCTGGTATTCAGGGCCTTGTGAAATGATGGGACAAGTGCCTCAATGTGCAGGGAGATTATGTTGAGAAATAAAAGCATTTTTCAAATCAGTACTCTTATTTGCTTAAGTTCTATATCCATTTGTAACTTACTTATTGACTTACATACATACAACAAACACTGAACATATGTAAAGAATACTGAAGTCTCTTATTTATTTGCATTTGCATGATTTTGGCTTTGTTGTGTCTGATTTGTGAAGAGTGGAAAGAGGTATTTAAAATGCATTTTTGTTAGTCATCAGTTTTACACTATTTATAACAGAGCATCTAAAGGTTGCATTCATAAACTGAAAATTAAAAACATTAAGAGAGCGAGTATTCTAGAAATCTTATGCTATGTATGTACTTATCCAAACTTGCTGAACTTCAAAAACTATTGAAAAGCACGAGTGTACTATATTGCTTCGCCTCCAAGAGCAAGTATTAACATGTTGTAAGTTTTCTTAGCAGTTCTGCGTAGTTCATCATTGCTTAAAGCATGCCATCTAAAGTTTCTTTCATTCCTCTTGCTCTTTCAGAGCCTTTACTTATTTGCATGTCTAACAAAATCCCCTTGAATTTTCACTTCATTTTAGCATGGTTTGTTTGTTTCTTCCCACAGTATTTGGTGTGCTTTAATATTGTTTGAGTGGAATGTCACAAAAGTATTTATTTTGTATTCTTTCAAAATGTATTATACCTGTTATATATTTTTTCTTATAATTTTAAAAGTCACAACAGAAGAATATGTTTTCAGTAATATTTTTTTTAAAAAAAAAAAGACCACTAACAAATACAGGATAGTATCCATGCTGTACTGTTGGTGTGAAATGTGATTTACTCACAAATAAATTCCAGCAGTGACTGTCATAAGAAACAGATGATTGTATAAAAGCTCTGTCCAGGCTTATGAGACCATACCTCTGAAGTAGTTGGTATTAACTTTGAAGTTTTAAAATATATCCAGCATCCTCACCTTCATTAATTTGGCTCTTAAGAAATGTTCAGTGAGATCATCCCAACTTGTTTGAGCTCTGTTAGTGTAGACAGGCATATTTTTGACAGTGGGCATACTTATTCAGGCTGCCCAGAAAAGCCAATTGAATGATATTGTTTATTCCTTTAGCTAAAACAGCTGCCTGCTTCACGATTGTTGTGTGTAACGGATGGACTACGAGAGTTTGTCAGAATGATGTTGAATGTCACACCAGAATTGAGGCCTGATGCACATCAATTTACCAAGGTATGATCAAAATTTAGTTCAGTTTAGAATGTTGGTATTAACATGCCTTTTGTTTTAGCACATGTATATGAGACATAAGGAACAAAGCTGTTTGATTTATAAATATGATATTTAAATAGCTAAATTCTATATTCATTATTTTTCTCCAAACAGGTAGTAAAAATATAATAGTGCTGTTTTGCTTAGGCAGAGCTCCACATTTGCTTAACCTCAGTGATAGATGGAGGTTACTGATCAGATATATGCTTTGTTCACTTAACACCTGGGGAATGAGCCCTTAATACACATTAGATAGGATACTTGCTGGGTCCTAGTTCCATTTTGGATATGATGAAGATAAAACTCCTCTTTACCCTACCTAAAATCAAACTCTGGTTCTCCAGCGTATAGCCTACACATTACTGACAACTACTGCAGTTCATGAAAAAATTGTAATTCCACTTCTGATACGGAAAAGTTTGTGAAATGTGTATCATCATTCATGAGAACCTAACTGTCTTTCACTTGGTCAAGAGATTCCTCGCCTTTCATAAAGCCCAGTTTTTCATTACTACATTCAAAAGGGTCCAACACTGAAGCATGTCTTGAGCTGTTCTATTACATTAGGATCCATTTTAATATTATCCTTGTATCTGCCCATAGGTTCCATGCAAGTGGGCATAAGTGATGACACTTCTGACTTAATTCAGTAGGTGCCTGGTTTGAATCTCAGCTAGTATGCCAGCTATCTTGACCGAGGTTTTCCATGGTTTTCCTCGGCTGCTCAAGACAAATGTCAGGATGATACCTTCAGTTGGTTTGTGACCTCTTTCTTCCACAGCCTTTCCAATCCATTGTTCACTATCAACCTGTCATTTGATGCTGTACAGCCTGAGTTGCTGAAAACATAGTAAAAATACAGACAAACAGAATACTCTGAGATCTTATGCTAAAGGATGAACGTGTTTGAGAAAAAGGGTGCTGAGGTGAATTTTTGTACCTAAGAGAGAGGAAATAACAGGAGTGTGGAGAAAATTGTATCATGAGGATCTTCATAATTTGTACTCATTACCAGGATAACCAAATCAAGGGAGATAAAATATGTGGGGCAAGTAACACACAGGAGAAATGAGAAAGGCATACAAAATTTTAGGCATAAAATCTAAAGAAAAAATCATGTGGGAAATTTAAGCATAGATAGGAAGACAGTATTTATCTCAAACATGGTCTGAAGATAACTGACTGTATTCATCTTACTCAAGATTTATCTCAAACATGGTCTGAAGATAACTGACTGTATTCATCTTACTCAAGATAAGTCCACTGGCAGGTGGTTGTGAACGCTGTAGTGAACCTTTGGGTTTCATGGAAAGCAATGGATTTCTTGCCTGCCTGTGTGAGTATAGCCTTCTCAAGAAGAACTCTGCTCCATACAGTTAGTTATGACTATACCTCACTATACTTGACCTCACTTCTTTCCAGATTGAATTTTTTGAAGATGTGGGAGTAAAAACTCTTAACTATTTGGACTCATTATTTCAATGGGACAACCTCCAGAAGTCTCAATTCTACAAGGGGTTGCCCCAGATTATACAGAATCTGCCACACCGAGTCTGTATATATAGGTAAGTTGAAACGAACAGTAACCAATACTCTAATAACATGAGAAGTGAACTTGCACTTAATTTCTTTAAACTTCTTCTAATGCTGACATTCTTAAAAGCGGCTGTATAGTTCAAGATGACTACTAAGCTGCACAAATTGTTTAATTTTCAAAACCTCCCCATTCTTGTTTTTCGATATCTTTTTTCATGATCTCATAATTGGCAATATCGTAGCTTTCTTCTTCACTGTTTTCTGTGTGGCATCTAGTAGTGTCGTCTTCCACAGCATGGAGATCATTACACTAAACCATGTTCTCATGGATAAGGTCTGTTAGATAGTACCGTCGGCCCTCAGTACCTTGATGCTTCCCCCATCTACCAGAGGCATTGGAAACTACTAGGGCAGGAAACTTGCCTACTTTTGCTCAGAGGTCTCCTAGAGACATGAGGATCTTTTACATGCCATAAATCTACAACACAGGACCCACGGCTTAAAGTCCCTCCTGGAGGACTTGTTCCCTGAATTTTTCCGCCCTTAAAAATTCCACGACCTCCACCGGGTTTGAACCCACGTACCTTGAGTCATGAGGTGGGAACATTACCCCTAGACTACGGAGGCCGCTTTATCTTCCTCTTATATAACATTGCATCAGACCACATAGAAAACACATCGCTGTCCGTATTGTTGTAGGCTTTGGCTAGCAATGGCTGTTTACACACCATTGCTAAGCAGTGATAGTTGTGTTTTCACTGTAATGTTTGCTTGAATGTGGGTAGTTCCCACAAAGTCTTGAGCATCTAAATGAAATACTGCATATGCACAATGTTTCTGAATATGACTGTATAATGAGCAGCTTTGTCAGACAGTTCTCTGAAGTAACCATTAAAAATTGATAGGAAAATGGATTGAGGGATTAGGCATACTGTGTGAATGAGGAAGCAGTTCATATAGGGTGGATTACCTATACCTGAAAATCATAGGAAAGAGAGTTTGAGTGCTTGCAGTAAGGTAGTAGGAAGGCCCAATGCAACCACAGTTGAAACACCTAGAGACCTAAAGAGATGAGAGGTGGGTCCTGTGCAAATGATCATTATATTCATATTTAGGACATGGCTTATCTAAAAGACACTCAGGTAATATACTTACGTATAATCAAATTCCTGCTCTGCTTGGTTTTATATAGTTGACAGTACTGATTTTTGTATAATATGTTGATTAGTTATTCAGTGGAGCAGAGTTCTCCTTGATATGGTGACAGTTGTTCAGCTGGTCAGGAAATACCTACTGTTTATAAAATGTAAAGCTTTAATACAGAGTTCATGCATATATGCCTCTGGACCCTGTTCTGAGTCAGTTGAACCTAGTCTATACCCCCAGATCCTGTTGCTGGTGTTATTGAGAAGTAACTTTAGTTAGTTAGTTAGTTAGTTAGTTAGTTATTGGAGAGGGTGGGTTTCCCCATGCACTGAGACCCGTATTGCTCCATTGTGCTTCCCTCCATGATTTCTACCAGTCTCTATATCCTACCAGTACTGGTGCTTACCATCAGTCCCGCCCAGCCAGCGAGACCGGCTCTGCTAGCTGAGAGGTATCTATAATGCTTCCCCCATCTACCGGAGGTATTAGTGACTGCTGTTGGGTGGGAAACATCCATTAATTTGGCTCGGTGACCTCCTTTGGAGATATGAGGTTCTTTTACGTGCCGTAAAGCTACGACACGGGACCTACGGCTTAAAGTCCCTCCCGGAGGTCTTGTTCCCTGAATTTTTCTGCCCTTAAAAATTTGACAACCTCTGCCGGGTATTTGAACCCGCGTACTACGAGTCATGAGGTGGGAACGTTACGAGAAGTAACTTTGATATATTACCATATTCTAATCACTGTTTCTTGTTTAATAAAATTGTTTCTCTACTCATTTCCAATACATATTTTGTTTTAGAATACTTCCATGTTTGATGAAAGAATTTGTGAATCCAACCATGGTTCCATTTGTTCTACCAAATGTATTATTAGTGGCAGAGAACTGCAGTAAAGAGGAGTATTCACAGCATATCCTTCCACATTTAAAGCCTGTCATGAAGATGCAGGACCCTATTCAGGTAACCAGCATGTTTACATCTCCCCGTCCATGGAAGGAGAATACATGAAAACAAATATTTGTTTGTGTATGCAGTTCAGTAGTATTAATTTATCTTGGGCAGATTTATTAACACATTGAGGACCGGTCACATGATAACATGCTTTTGGCTTTTAAACATGGCAGACTGATCGCATGATATCATGATTTTAGGACACGTTAGGTTGTAACATACTATACCTTGTTCTGGCACCACCCAAGTTGCATGCAGTGGTGTAATAAAACTCTGGAATGTTTGGTTATTTGTCAGTAACTTGACCTCACTGTTTTCTTAAGCCACTGTAAACAAAAATGCTTTGATGCTCTTCGAGCTGTAGGTATCAGCCAGTAGTTAGTGGTGGGGTATGGACAAGGACAAATTCTTCAACAATGAGCTAGCTGTCCTGCCTTATGAGATGCGTAGTCATGGTGATTCAGAGAGCGGCAGTGACGGGAGAACAAAGAATTGTGGCCACAGACAGTAAAAGTGACAGTAGCTCCAACGATAATGGGGGTAATAACTTTGCGAGGACTAACATTGTGGGGACAGTAAAAAATCACAAAAATCTAAACCCTGATTCAAAATTGAAATACAGAGTATTTCTGATGAATGTGGCAAAGGCCTGGGCTACAGACCAGATGGTGGCGGCAGAACCAGAGTCAGGCACAGACTTAGTGCAACCAGGCCCATCAACTCCCACCCCACGCAGGTCTCGTGTGAACCCCCAGGGCGACTCTCGGGTGATATGCGGAAACATACCCTCGTGAAAATTTTGAAGAGTGAACATTCCAAAGGGAAGCATCCTTCTAGGCAATGCCATGTTTACACAGTTCAAAAAAAAGTAGTATGTCTACATTTGCAAGTTCTATGTAATGCCACTTCACAAAGGGGAATTTTTCCAGAAATATCACACCCTCAAGCACTTCTAGGAGTGTTGGTAAGTGTTCTCCAAAAATTTTAGTTCATAAAATTAATTAGGAGATTTTATATTAATTTTTAAAGTGAACAGTGCACAAGTCAGGATAGTAGGTTTAATAATGGTGGCCCCAGAGTGATTTAAATATTTAAATTGCCAGTCCTTAATATGTTAATTAAAATTTCCAGGTAACACCAAAACTTCAAAATGAATCATATAAAGTATAAAGAATCTTTCTTAGCAGTTAATGACAGAGGTCTTTATCATTAAGTAATTCACAAAAGTAGTTCCATAAGGAAGTAAGAAAGGAATGCTTAATAAATATAAATTTGAGTACAATAAAAAACTAGCTTACACAGAAGATTCTGGCAGCTTCCTATCAAACTTGTTGATATATTTATTGCATAAGTACATAGTATGTATGACTTCAGTTTGATAGTGGCAGATGTCAGGCTTTACAGATGAATCACTTACATGTCTCTCACCTCTAGATTCTGTTGATATTTATGCAAAAAATGGAGCTGCTGTTGAAACTGACACCAGCAGAAGAGATCAAAACTGATGTACTGCCGATGCTATATCGAGCACTTGAGTCAGATGCTCAACAGATTCAAGAGCTATGTCTGTCTGTGCTGCCAACATTTGCGGGACTTATTGATTATCCAGCCATGAAAAATGCCTTGCTGCCACGTATCAAGCGCCTCTGCATTGCTACTTCCTATATCTCAGTAAGTTACCTACACTTAAAATTAAAATTGTTTTGATACAGAACCTTGTGTTGGGCACTGTAGTGCAGAACGGTAAGAACTCTGTGTAATCTGATTGAGTTCAGCACATCAAAATTTGATAACTAGCATGGTGATTTGGAGCGAATTTTGTCTTACAGTGTATGTATATCTTTTTTAATTAAAACCATCATTATATGAAGTGACAGACAAAAAAATAACAGTTAAGAACAGATACAAACTTTGTGTACAGAATAACACTGACCCATAAATAATATATTTTATGCAGAAAGTATAACATTTTTATTTTAGACCCTAACATTAGGAATGTGTACCAATTGGAAGCAATAGAATAGAGGTGGGCAAATTCTAAATTGCATTCAGAACTAATATTGAAAAGTATTACAGTGAAATGTCACTGTGTATGTACCCACATATATTTAAAATAGGTGATTTATGATTATGCATATATGCATGTTATATGATTCACAGGTCTTACTGATTTCACATCTTACACAGATGGCAGGTTGTAAACTGTGCTATTTTAAGAATAAAAATGTCACTTAATTCATTGTTTAACAGATGACTGCAGGAATGAGATTTAGGCATGAAAAGATAAAGAATGGAGGTAGGAAAGAAATGATTCATTGTGTTTCAGCAGGCTCTTCCCCTAGTATGTATTAAATGTTTTCATTCCATGAGAATGTGTGTGATATTGCTTTAAATTTTAATGTATTCCACTGTATGTTAAAGAACAGACATTTCTTTCATGCATGACTCTTCCATTTTTAAAGGTTTTGGTTGGGGGGGGGGGGATTTTTGGGCTGAATCAGATTGCATATGATTTCTTTCACCCCAGTTATAATTCATGTTATTCTTCATTCATAAGCCTCAGTGTAAATTCACAGAATAAAATCATATAAAAAGCATTAAAGTCTTGTCACCATTTTCTCTAATATTAAATGCCTATTATGTGAATCAAAAGTGTGGTGGTTTTTCCCCTTCATGAAGTTAACAGTCATTTTTATGTTATTATAATGTTCACAGGTGCGTGTGAATTGTCTTGTATGTGTTGGCAAGCTGTTGGAGCACCTAGACAAGTGGTTGGTTCTTGATGAAGTGCTTCCGTTCCTGCCTCAGATTCCTTCCAGAGAACCTGCTGTGTTAATGGGAATACTTGGTATGATATGTTACTGTACTTAACAGAATATTAAGAAAATATGAAATATGAAGTTGAAAAAGCACTTGTGTAAAAACAGTGCTTGTTCACAGCACGGTGTCACACGGTAGACTGGTGCAATAGGCTTGTGGGAGTGTGACCTTGGCCTCCCCTCTCATCTTCTTTCACCAAGGCAGATACAGCAAAAATAGTCCAGGAAGTTTCCTATACCACCTCGTATTATAGTTGTGGTAATGTTTAAATGCTCATCTGTATATGAAATTAAATATTTTGTCATATGTTAATCCTTTATCTTAGAAGGCATATTCATTTATTTTTCTGAGGCTAATGCTAGGGTTGTGGCAGTGTTTCCTTGACTGGTGAACAAGTTATTTATTTCCATATTTTTATCATCATATTACCTTTTTTGACTTCTGTGTATTCTTGCAAGTATTTAATGTAGTTTGATATCCAAAAGTTTGTCTTTTGAGCTGTTATTTATAAGTATTGTCCTTTAAATTTTCAAAAGAGTTGCTGCATTTTGCCACCTGTGTTGTAAGGGATTTAAAATTGGTCATCAGTTTGTACAGTGTTGTTGCAAATGTTAATTTTACAGAACAGATTTTGCCTTTACTGTAATTGAATGACAGGATGCTCAAGCAGTTGATATAGAATGAAGAAGGAAGGTTCCTAAATAGTGATAGAGCACAGACTAGTTTGTGCTGTTTGCTGAGACTGTCAGACTGACTGACAAAGATTGGATTAAGAAGTGTTGTGCTGAACTTTGAACATTCTGATGTAGTATGTGCCATACCAAATAAGCCTGAGAAAGGATTTAATTAAAGTATTATAACTATGAATGAGGTTTTCTGGTATACGATAAAAACTTATGTCACTTCAAATAACTTGGCTTCCAGGGATCTACAAATTAGCATTAACACACAAAAAACTTGGAATTACAAAAGAACTGATGGCAACAAAAATTCTTCCATTTCTTATGCCACTAAGTATAGAGAATGGACTGACATTGAATCAGTTCAATGCATTGATGACTGTGATAAAAGAGATGGTAAGCCGGGTGGAAGGAGAACATCGTACAAAGTTGGAGCAGCTCAATTCCATTCAACAAGAATCCAAGTATGTATAATTTGTGACAATGTTGTCATTGGATACCCACCCCAAGATGCAAGTTAAGTGTTACCCAATGTTTGAGACTGTCACCCTTCACATGAGGGACATAGCAAGGACTCACAGATGCAATATTTGAAAGTGTTTTGTTCTAAGAAAAAAGTATACAGGAAATCATGTCAGTAATATGAACAGTATTTTTGTAACCTTTTAAGTATTGCCTTGGTATTATTAAAGAAGACGTTTCTACTGGCCTAACCAAATTTAATTACAGCATGGCCAGTATTAATTTCTGACTGCACTCTATGTCAGTTTGATAATACATGTTCAATGCTGTATATTTTAAGCAGGTTCACAGCATTTTAAGCCCCATAGGTCCACATATTCTTAGCCCTTGCACTTAGTTATCAGCTCCGCACTTCTGCTGCCTCAAATCCTGTTTTAACCAGTTGTGCTTGTGGTAAGAATCAGAATTCAAATGAAAGTTTATGTAGAGTCATCTGCTCAGAGTGTCCAAAAGATTTTGTTTCAAACAGAGATATCTGACAGTAGTTGAAGCTGCTCCACAGTTCAACAAGGGTTCCTGTAAGACAGAACTAGCCAGGGGTCTCAAGGGACACACTTTTGGGACATGAGAAACCATAATAGACTGGGGGGGAACTGATGTGGAGTAAATCAGAGTGTGAAATGTTTGAAAGAAGGGAAAGAGCTTCCAGGCACTCCTTGGATGGGGGCAGAAGCACACCAATAATGATACTTTATTAGTTGCTATGTGCACTGAAGTTACTTAGCTTTGTAAGATTGGCATGTTATGTTCAAATGCAAAATTTGTGGATGTGATGTTCTCACAGTAGTGAGTGTGAAGGGTATTATTTCCTAGGATGTACTGCTATGTAGTCCAGTAGAAGTCTTCCAGAATATTTGTGGACCTCTATCAAACTGCACACTGTTACATATTAGAAGGAAGCACTCTTTATGGAGGATTTGTCAGGAGAAGTAATTAACATGGATACATTTTGGTGCAGGTCAGTTTCTATTAATCTCTCTACCAACAACAATCCGTCACAGCTGGTGCCTGCCCCTCAGCCTCAATCAGAGCTGGACCAGATGTTTTCAGGCCTAGGGTTGGACAGCTTTATAGGAGGAAATGAGAAAAATGAAACCTCAAAGACTCCCCAAGTCAATGGGAATATTAATTCCAGTACATCACTTAGTTTACAAGATAAGCAAAGGTATGTAGTGTTTGCTGAGTGACAGTTTATCGTATGAGAAGTGTGAAATTGTCGTGTTATAGTAACAGCCAGTCATTCCTTGTGCAGTGTGAACTGTGTGATTAAGTTTCAGGAATTTAAAGTAATCTAGCCATTCTTTATTGCTACTAGCTCAGATAGAGAAATTCACCTCATTTCAGGCTGTGTTGACTGGCCACGATTTGGGTGATTAGTGAGTCTCTGGGTATAGGAAAGTCATACTCAACACCAATTAGCTGATTAAAATCTTTATTCAAACAGCACTTTTCAATGACAACTGCGCTGTAGTGATCCACTTAACAGATTTGTGGATTTAGGCTTCTTTACTGTTCACTAAGACACACAAGTCAATAGGCATTACAGAGTGTATGTACAGGGACCAGAACACGTGTACCCCCAGTGAATGTAAATTTCAGAGTTCTTCACCAAGCACACTCTGAATGGTAAATATCTGCCCTGGTCACCCAAAATTCGGGCAAAGGACATCCCACTTCAAATTATGAATGGCTGGATGGGGCAGACTGGGAGGTTGCTTAATCTTTCTTCTCTAATTAGAAAAGGAAATACCCATGCATGTAGAGTTTAGGGGTGAACTTTACCACCTGCTGCGTGGCTGTCAATATGGAACTTGGGGTAGCATAAAATGACTCTGCTAAAATTATGACTTCCCCTGTCAATGTTTTGAATTTCTAAAGAACCCCGCCTCATGTTACGCATTAACTTGACTGATTTACGGATGGGCAGCTGGCTTCAAGCTTGACCCAAGCTACCTGCTGTGTGTCTCGGGGGGGGNGAATCTCCAACTGTGAGACTAAAGTGAGTAATTTCACAGAACCCTAACCATGCACAAAATATCAATTGACCATCCCATAAATTGGACAGTTACAGTAAAACTTGTAAGAAGGTAAAGTCACACCTACTGCTAAGCATCACACCATGAAGGTGTATAGTGAATGCAAAATAAACCACCACTAAATGTGAGTTAATAAAAGTAAGTCGCTAGCTTCACACTTTTGTGCCTTTACCTTTAGTAAAAAGGCCCCAGGTCCATTGACATTGGATGGAGTACACTCTGGTGCTGATGAGAGAAATTAAGTATCCTTAACTAATTCAGAGCACAATCCATCTTCATGAGCTAGTACTCACTTAGCTGGTCAAGAGAGTCTTTGTATTTTATGAAATCTGAAGTTTCATTACCACATTCAGAAGAGCTTGCCTCTAGACCCTGTCCTGCCATCCAAGTGCAAGACAGTGTGTAGCATATAACTTGCATGTTTTTTTGTTTTTTTTTTTTTTACACTGAAGGATTTAACTGCTCGCCTGACCCACAAGCTGGGGGAAGATGTCTTTTTGGATGGATGTGACTTCTTATGTTATGTAGACAACAACCTTCCATTTCTGGAAGATATGGATTATTAATTTATTAGGTTTTCATCTGTACCCATTTCACAGTTTTGAAACAAAATTAAATGCACAAATAGTGTGTTTGCTGGATTCTGAATGTGTGTGATAGCCCTAAAAGAAACAGCGTTCCTTTGGAACTCTTGAGTGCCACAGCTGTCATGTCTGAGCACTCTTGTGAGTTGTCCAGTAATTCTAGGATATGAACGAGAAAAATGTAGACATACATATGACCAGAAATATAATATTTTTGTTGAAATTCCCACTATAGTTTGTATATATCAAACATGTCAGATTACAGCTATTTGAAATGTGCTTTTAAAATGTATCAAGCAATATCTTTGTGTGGGATTGGGATATTAAAAAATAATGAAGTTCAAATAAAGATATTTGCTTAGGTTGAATCCCCCTGTCATCTCTGTTTTCTAAATGAGACATGAGCTTGCGTCAGCATATGGCACCACTGGACTCCAATGAATGAAGATTAGAGAGTGATGGAATTATAAAAACATGCAAAAAGGAAGAAGTCTGCTTATAACTGGTAACTGTTCTTTGATCCTTGTAAGAGTTTGGTATTTTTGTATAAAAGCTCCTCTAAAAGTCTGGGTCTGTTGTTTGGAATTTTCTTTTAATGCCATTAATGCCTATTTTTGACAGGCTGGTCATGCAGCAAGAGACTCAGCAAAGATTGCAAGCTCAGCCCGTACTCACTCCGTCAGCTCCAGCACAAAGTAAAGCACAGACATCAGTGAAGGATCTCACTGCCACATTAGTTGAAAGTAATTTAAATCAGATCAAATATACCCGGCCACACATACAAACAGGAGACCAAGTGGGGGGCACTGGATGGCAGAATGCTGTCAGACCTGGGGCATCACCACAAGGCTTTGGTGCATTTCAGACTGCTCCTGTTGGTGCACAGTGGCAATGGCACTCACCACCTCCATCTTTCATGCCACCCCAGCAATCTGTGTTCACATCTCCACACCAGAAAAGCTCCCTAGATTCACTTCTTCCAACAGCAGATAAACTTCCAATGAACAGAATGCAAGCCCCTATGCAACAGCCTCTCATCACAGTGTCACCATTCCAGCAGCCACAACAGCAGCAGACTAAGGCACTTTCATCTTCTGAAATCAATGACTTCCTTAGCTAGCCTGTACTAACAATGAGCAACTGGGCTGTGTGCCCAGTTTTTTAGAAGAGCCACTAGTACTATTGACAGCACGGAGACAGAACTTAAGTGAGGTAAGTGAAGATATCATTATCAGTATCCAACTCTACTGTCTGTGTTATTCATAGTTGGCCAGAAAGAATTGGAAGTCATCTGTCTTTGTCTGAAATAGTGCTTTATTGAAAGGATTGTTCATTGCTTACCACTTGTATTTTAATTTAATACTGTAGTGATAAATTGCAGTATTCCATTTTAACATAATTTATCATTGATCCTTTTGTGCTATCTCAGAGCTAATCGATGGATTGGATATGTTCTACACATAAACATCCATACTGTGAACAGGTTTCACACATAGTCATAAGCAGAAGCTCTCTTTGTTTCAAAGATCAGAAACGTTGTTGAGATAAAAATTTGTGATGACCTAATGTCTGCCAATGTTTCTCAGACATAGCTATTCTGACTGTGGCATACTAATGGGTGTTTGAAATTTTGTAATGTGATGTGATTAATAAAAACATTGATCTAGCCAAATCTTTGATCAAAAATGAAGTAATTTAACTCTGGTCATTCAGCATTGCCATATAATATTTGGCTTATTGAAACGTTTATGTGCAAATTAGATGTACATGTCTGCCATTATTTTTTCCACTTGTATACAAGTGTGACAGCAGACAGAGTTTGGATTGGTAATTGGATTTATTGAACACTTATATGAGTACAGACAACTTGTAACTACAAGTAACTGTAGTGCTATTGCTAATTCACACTCTGCAATTTACTACAGCACACACTAAAGTTTTCCCATCCTGCTTTGTCTTCATCAGTTTGCTGGTCACAGCTTCCAATGGCAGACATTCCCACTTCCTGTGGATTCCTGAACTGTCCTTATCCCTTAGCTACCAGTTTCTAACAGAAACAGCGCACAAAGACTGAAATGCAGCAGTCCTCTAACTCACTCACCAGCCAGCTGATTCCACTCCATTAACTAACTCTCGGGTTGGCGGCCATCTCACACCAACCTCCTCCTCTTCTCACTGCAATCTCAAGACTCTCTTCTAACAGCAGCTGATACAATCTCGGTACGGACCACGCAGAGAACACTGCCCCCAGCTGCCCTTCCATTGTTGCATGTCTGTTGCAGTCATTACCTATCAGTGGCTGTTTTATGGCTGCTTATTTCATGGTCATTGCCTGGCAGTGGGTCTACATGTCACAATATTTTTGACCATATTTCTGTATAATTTTCAAATATAGTTTTGAAGAGGCAGAAAGTCTGTACTACGGTGAGGTTTGTTTTCTTTCAGAATCTGCATGACTAAGAATAGTTATACATAGTATTCACTGTATAAATGCTGCCGTAAGCCCATCACATTCCTCAGTGAACCTATCTTGATTAGTCATTTTCATAGCGTTACAAGTGTAATGCCTTGTACTTTGAAAATATTCAGCCCTGCTGAAATTTTATATTTATGTGTGGTTTTAATAACCAATCAGTGAAAGATTTTTATATCTGGAAAAATGATGGCTGGCATATTGAATGGGTTTGATGTCACCAGTGAGGGTTTTCTCTGGTCTCGCCATGGTGACGTCTGATATTTTTTGTCTGGAATTTGCGGGGGAGGGATAATTAAATAATTCAAAGTGTATTTGTGCAATTATAATCTTTTATATATGTGCAGGTTCAGATTTAGGTAATTGTACATTCCAGATAACATAAAACGAGAAGGTTTACTTCAGTTTTGAATCCTGTTGATAGCGTGGATTGTTGTGTGGTACATTACTTCAGATTGGCTCTTGGAGAGCACAAAAGGATTTAAAAATAAACTATATTGGTTGTGCAGGAATACTGTTAAAGGTATCAATGTCATTATATTTGTCTGTTATGTATGAAAATTGTTCCAAAAGAGTGTTTGTTTTGTTGTACATATATTTGAATAATATCCACTTAGTATGGGTTTTCTTGTAAGATAAAGCTCATTGGACATTAAAGTAAATGCACTTAATGTATGTTAAGCAAACAAGATAAAATGCATATACTTACCAGAGCAAAGACTGCCGAGTGAATCAGAAGTGTAATGTACCATTGTCCCTCATTTAACTAATTCTTAATTGTATATAGTATGTGAAAGTGCTCATGCACACGCATGTAATGTTTTTAATGTAAGTAAATATTCCAAGGAGTAGCGGGAGGATGCCAAAATAAGTAAGGGAATTAACTCACCCTATATCCAGAAATATAAAATATAACCATTTTTCTATATAAGGTACATAAGAATGAAAGGGTGGATTAAATGCAGCAGAAGGGTTAATTGTGTATTCTTAAAATCTAGGTGTATTTGGTCCTTATTTCTTTCTTCCCCCAGCCGCATGTTTTCTTTTTCCATCCAGATAATTTTCTCGCTGGTTTGTATTTGATATTGTCATATGTCGGGTATGTCATGTGACATATAACTTCACGCCATCAAGGATGTAGTGAATATTTATTGTGCTTCGCTTCCACACTCTCACACTATACAATTATTATCACTTGCAGTATCACAATTACTGCTTCCACTATATCTTGGCGAATACTAGACTGCCTTCGACCCGACTCCCTTAAGACTCCAACTTATACTGAATGCTCAATCCTTCTCAGTAGTGTTCGCTGCTCCTTATATAGGCTTGGCATGGACCACTGGCTGCTCGGCAACATATCAGGTATTGTTGTCAGGTGTGTTTACCTATGCATTGCCTAACAATAGATGCCCTACTATTGTGTGACATCACAGCCTAGCAGGGAGGTGTGTTTACCGAGCATCTTACAGCGACGAGCTGAGTGGAGATATGTGATGTCACTCGCACTTCCTGTTGCACTATCCAAGCGTTCACAGAGTTGTCGCCTAGCCATGCGCTGATACAGTGCACAACTCTCACGTTGTGCGTGTGCCCTGAGGCCTCTGTGGCTCAACAGTTCCTGCATAGAGCCAATACACCACAGTATTCTGTTCATCTTCAATTTGTATATGTGTTGTGGTTGGTTCTTTTGATAGTCTGTAATTTCACTGATAATATTTTAATCCCCCCCCCCCTGATATTTGTATTTCAGTGCTAATCTAGTCTTATGGATACCCAGTAAAGGTTAGAAGCATCTCATTTGTGTTGCATTCAATCTCTTATTATCCTTGTTCTTCAGTATTTGTGCCTGAATAGTACATTTTGCAGTTGTTTTGATGTGATATGTATTTCTTGTTTTTATTTTATTCCTCCCAGAAGTTCTCATCTGACTTGCAGGATATCCCCCTAAATGATAGTGCCTAAATGTGTTTGTTGTGTCTCACATCTTCTGCAAGATATTGTTTACTGTTAATTCTAAAACTGTTGTTAGAATGGAAACATGCATGAGGAAGGCATATGAATGTGTCCTCCACATTCTTCAGGTTAAACTGCAGGTCCTCTAAGGTTTCAAACCACTGCTAAATCGGGTTCTTTGTGTGGCCAAAAGATTGAAATATATTGGTTTCAGGCCTAGATGTTACAGAGGCCAAGAGACATGGACCTTGGTACTGATGGTTCCTGTGTAGGCGGAGATTGACACAATGCAAACACTTATTTTCACTAATAATATTGTTTGTACCTTCCTTAGTTATTAACAGACATTAGAAACTGAGGTGGCTATCTCTCTATAATGAAGATTTCCAGACATGTTATCTATTATGCACATTCCATACACTGTATTGTGGTTTATTTCTATTCACGACTGGGCACTTGCATTAAAAATACCATTTTTCAAATAATCAATGAAGCGCTTTGTTAATATGTGTAAAGTAAACCAGGTTGCTCATAATTGCATATGAAGTGGCCAGACATTGGTAAATCAAGAAGGTGTCTCTGTACTGAAACACATACCATGGAGGAGTGGAGATAGAGCTTCACATGTTCTTAACCTCAGCGCAAGAAGGAAGCGAGTGATAAGCTTCATGCCCCACCTCTTCAACCGTAAGGAAGGAGGCCTTAGTTAGCAGCTGATAATAGGCTTGGTGGGCACCAGAGCTGGTTCAGACATTTTCACAAGAATATCCCTGGCCCTGACAGAATTGAATATAGTCATCCAGCTCATAGCCAGTTACTTCAGTGACTGAATTTTCTTGGTTCTCTGTAAAACATCTGTTGATGAAGATAGAGAGGGGTGATTCTAATGGAGACCAAATGAATTAACCCTGTTGTTTTGTTTGGTTGTTTTTAAAGCTGTTTTCTTTTCATAAATGTTTAAAAAAAGATAGAATTGTCATCACACCATGAAGATGTATAGGGTAGAGGAGGTATAGCTCCACCATACTTGACCTCAGATGGAGGTGAATGGTCAGATTCACCTTCTAGTTGCTTTACCCCTTGGTAAAGAGCCCCCAGTACCCACTGGATAGGAGACTGGGTAGGACTCAGAGCTGGTCTGGACACTGGAGTGGAGAAAAATCTCTTTCCTGTTGGGAATTGAAACGCAGCTGTCAGGCCTATAGTCCATTGCTATATTGATTGAGCTATCCTGGATCATACTTTTCATAAATGTATGCAGTTTAAAGTTTCTTTCTGTGCATTTGTGACATATTAGTATTTGTCATCTTATGAGCCAATGCCTGGCATTGGTCTGAGTTGAGTCTTGGTAGTTAGTAAGAGCAGGAAATAAGTCTTATGTACTCAAAATTATAATAAATTGTTTCACTACTTATATATTAATAGATGACTCAAAGAATTTTATGGATAACTTTTGTGACTTCTGTCACAAGATCTGTTCAGGAAAGAAAATTACAACAAGGAAAACTGCATCTGGATTTATTGGAGGCAAAAAACAGATAAGCTGTGCATATGTTACCACAGTGATACATTTTAGAGTTTTGATCACCTGTTGTTATATAAGAACTGGTATTGATTTCCCATATTATATATATATATATACACACACACGTATGTTTCCATATAAATTAAATTGAAGTAATCTGCACTGTAATACATGTATTTTTTTTTTTGTCCATTGAAGCAGCTTATTTAATAAACCAGAATATGCAACACACATTTTCCAGAATGTTACTCTTGTCGCTAGTGCATAACTAGCATAAATAGAACAATATTTTTATTCTTGTAAGTTCAGCCACATTATTCCGAAGCTGATCAGTTCCAGTACTGTCAAATGTTCTTAAAGCAGAAGATGAATTTGTATTTTTGAAATGTTATTAGTTTTTATCAGTTATATACAATATAAATTTTATTTGTCTGCTGTTAAATGTTAAGTTATTTCTGTCAGGGAAGAAAGACAGTTGTCATGCCATCACGTATGGTATATCATAGAAATGCTAGTTATGTGTTTTGCTTCTAGTCAAAATTGTAAAGACTTCCTGTCCAGTATATAAATGGGAGTTATGTGGCAGTGCTATATCTACCATTGTTTAGTATAGGCACTGAAATGGTCCTCTGAAATAACTGTGCTCTATGCATAAAAATAAAACATGCTGTGTCTTTCTCTTTCATGGTATCTCAGTGTATGATTATTAATATACTTTGGTTTCATATGGACGATCTTAATTTCCATCCTCAGGTATGCATAGATAGAATACCTTGTCTCGGCATTATCTTAGATGCTAAAAATGTAAATATTGGAAACAACCAACCAACGTTATGGTATCAGAATCTGAAAGTTCAATATTGCTAAACTGAAATCTGCCATTGGTCTGAGTCAGATCCAGCCACCTCCTATTCTCACAAATTGCCCTTGTAAGATCCATCTTGATGTTATCCTTCCATGTTCTCTGACTATATCTCATTTCAATGTGCCGCTCCAGGAAAGATTGATACCTTTGCATGTTATAATACATTTTTGCAGTACCAGAAGTAGTGAGGTAAAAAGGCAAAGTCATCCCTGTACTTAATATATTAAACACTATGCCATTGGGACATGGTGGAGTATATGTATAGATCCATGTATTCATGAGTTAGGCACTGGTTGCATGTGAGTGGTTAACTTCACACCCTGACTGCTTTACCCCTAGAGAAAGAGCCCACTGTACCCATTGGATAAGCGGCTTCATGCGCCCTAGGACCAGTCTGGATGATGAGAGGACAAGCTCCTACCGGGGCTCAAAGTCTGATGGCCATCCGTCCTATAGCCAGTCATACTAACTTCACTATCCCAGAATACCTGAATTAATAGCAATATAATCACATTATGTTGGACTATTATGTCCTCATTGTAAATGTTGTTTGGGAGTGGACAATGGAAGATACCCCCCTAATACTTATATATTTAGAAGCTGTTAAACATAACATTCTTATACTAGAATACCAAATTGCTTTTAACACATTGAGGACCGGCAATTTATATATTTAAATCACCCTGGGGAACGGCATTTTTAAACCCAGTACCCTAATTTGAGCACTGTTCACTCTGAAAATTAATATAATATCTAAGTGATTTTATGAACTAAAGTTTTGGAGAACGCTTACCAATGCTCCTAGAAGTGCTTGAGAGTGATATTTCTGGAAACATTTCCCTTTGTGAAGTGGCATTACACAAAACTTGCAAATGTAGGCACTCATACTACCTTTTCTGTGAACTGCGCAAACACGGCTTTGCCTAAAAAATGCTTCCCCTTGGAATATTGGTAACAAAGTGTTACGTCTGTGCTAGCTAAGGTCTTTCGTGACATCGCCATTTCTATTTACGTGATTGGTGTGAGAATACCAGCATCCGCCATTTTGTTTCCAACCCATCACGCGATTGGGCGTTGTAGTTTCAGTAGCAGGAAGAAGG